GTGTCCTCTTCTCTCCCAGGGTCTCCTGCACCAGCCACTTTCCCGGCCCTGCAGGAAGTGGCTTTACCCATGGCAAAATGCTTTGCTTAAAAGCTAAACTCTTTCGGTGATTTGCTTTTGTGTTTTTATTGAGACAGGGCCCATCATGCAGCCCACAGCACAAGTGGGAACCAGCTCCTGACATGCTCGTCAGGCTGATGTTGTCATTCTCATGAAAATTAACACATCTGGCCAGTAGTGGTACACCCTTATAATCCCAGCATTTGGGAAGCTGAGGCAGGAGAATCACAAGAGTTTGAGGCCAGGCTGGGCTACGTAGTGAGTTCAAGGCCATCTACACTGCATAGTGAGACCTTTTCTCAAAATAAGTATGTAAATAAATATCAAAAAGAAAGAAAGAAGAAAAAGTTATCACAGCTAAGTATGAGCAACCTCTTCCTCATTCACTGCCAAATTTTTAAGAGGAAGGAGTAAACAGTCTCAAATTACTTTTCCATTAAAAACAAAACCTCTCATTTTAAATTCACTTCTGCAGCTGAGTAATGTTACACACTTGTCATCATGCTGCTCGGGACCCTGAGGCAGGGGGATTGCAAGTCAGGGAGATTCTGTGAGACTCTGTGTCAAAATAAAAGCTGTTAGGATTAGGGCTGTGGCTGAGTGGCAGGTAGATCATTTACTTAGAGTGAGCAGGGCCAAGGGGTCAGAGCTCGTGGTCAGTGAGCTGGTATGTGGTCTGTTTTGAAGAACATCCTCCGTGCAGCTGAGAAGAGTGTATATTCCGATGTTGTGGGGTGGAACACTCTGTAGACATCTGCTGAGTCCATTGTTCAAAGGTCGGTTCAGTTCTGATACGTCTTTGTTAATTTTCTGTCTAGTTGACCTATTTGTGACAGTGGAGTGTTGAGATTCCCCCAATACAGTTGGTTGCATGGTGTTTGGTGCACATAATAGTTATCATTGTTATCTTTTCCTCTTGGATTGTTCCTTCACAAGGATGTAGTGACCTCTTTGTCTCTCTTAATCAGTCTTGGAATTTATTTATTTATTTATTTTGGTACTGGAAATCGAACTCACAGCCACGTGTTTGCCAGACAAGCACTTACGCTGCTGACCTAAATCTCTGGCCCTCAGTCTTGATTTGAAATTCACTTTGTCCACAAATAGAATAGCTGCCCCTACTTTTTTTCTGGGTTCCTGTAGCATGGAGTACTGTTTTCTATCTTTCTACTTTCAGTCTATGGATTTCCTTTTGAATTAAGGAATGTGTTTTTTGTATGCTGCATATTGTTGGGTTTTGTTTCTTGATCCATTCTGCCAGTCTGTGTCTTTTGATTGCTGAACGGAGACCACCAACATTGATGGTTATAACTGATCCGTATTGACTTATCCTTGTCATGTTATTTTCCTGTGGTTGGCTCTCTTTTTTTCTGCTCCGTTTAATTGCTTGCCTTGCTTGGATTCCTTTTGATGGTGTTCATGGAGTTGTAGTCCTTGTTATTTTCTTGTTATTTCTTTCTAGAATGTCCTTCATACATTTTAGAGTGCTGGCTTGGTGGTTTTTTGTCCTGGAAGTATCTTACTTCTCCATCAATTTTGGTAAATATTTTTGTGGGGCATATCAATGTGGATTGTAGGTTGTTTTCTTTTAGGGCTTGAAATACTTCACTGCAAGCTCTCTTTGACTTGAGAGTTTGTGCTGAGGAGCCAGCTGTGATTCTGATGGGTTCTCCTTTATAGGTGATCTGTTTCTTTCCCCTAACAGCTTTTAGGATTCTATTTTTGTGTTGAATTTCTGGAATCTTGAGTATCACATGCCTTGCTGTAGATTTTTTTTTGATCATGGTTAGTTGGTGTTCCATTTGCCTCACTTATCTGCATGTCAAATTCTTTTTCCTTGCCAGAGAAGTTTTCTGCCATTACTTCTATGAATAGGTTTCTTATATAACCCTAGGGCTCAAAACATTATTTTTGTAAAACAATTCATGTGATGCAAATGTGGCAGGCTGTTGACTGTGAAGTCTCAGTGACTAGGTCCTATGCTCTGCCTGTCCTCAGAGCCCCGGGATGCTGGTTCTGGCCAGCCCACACCTGGGCTGGTGAAGGGCAGGGTGGCCCTACACCTGCCTTCCCAGTCCCTTTCCCACTCTGGCAGGAAGCCCACTTCCACACCTGGTCCCCTTTCCTGGCCTTGGTGGTTTCTACGGCGACTGGTTTGAGCCCTCACTGCTGCATGTCCATCCCAGGGTTGCTGATGCTGCCCAGGAGCTGGAGCCAGGATGGATCCAAGCCCGTCAGGGCATCCACTGTGCTCCCTGGTGTGGACCGATCTGGCCCTTCAGCGCTGTCAGGCAGTCATCATGGGTCAGGTTGCACCGTCGGCCTGGACACGCATCGTCACCTTTGCTAATCATGTCTGAGTAACCCAGGGCTTCTCAGCAGGGCGTCCTGGTTCAGCATCGCTCTCTGTCAGAGGGACACAGGACCAAGTTCTATTTAAAGGAAGCAAATCAGTCAAGTGACTTGCCGGGAGCATAGTCAGGGATAGCAGGGATTAATATTTAATTGTATAGCCCACACCTGGTAGCACATCCCCAGGACCCGGGGAGCAGGTGAGGTCAGGCCATGCACCCACTGAGACCAGACCGTCCCTGGCAAGGGCTTCAGGGAGTGAGGCTGGAGTTGACCCTCCCAGCCACCATGCACAGCACTGGACACAGCCACCCAGGGGGACGAAGATGCTCTGCAGACAGCGTCTGAGCCCAGAAGGCAGAACTGTTCCTGAGAGAGATGGAGGGAGGAGCCAGAAGCTGCTGAGAGTGGCCAGTGTGGCCCTGTGCTGGTCCCCATTGCTCCTGTTCTGCAGAATTGCAGGCCTCTCCTCCTGAATGCTCCTTCCTCCTGGGTATGGGATGAAGCTGGGCCACCATGTCCCTGCTCCACCCCACCCTCCCTCCCTTTCCAGCCCCAGACCTTCCTGGTTCCCCTCACTGGCCTGGAGGAAGAGGGTGCAGGGCCAGCGCCTGCCTTCTTGCCCCCACCTGCAGTCCTCTGCCTCACTCCCGCCTTCCCTCTGTGGTCTTGTGTGAGCTGTAGGGATGAGCCCAGCACCTGGGTGCTGTCTCCAGTCAGGCACCTGTTTCATGAAGTTCCTTATTCCCTGGGGGCAGACAAGCAGGTGGTGGGATGGGGACTCCAGAGGCACCAAGATGCCCCAGGAGATGATGTGTGGGGCAGTGAGACCCAGGGCCATGACAGCCTCCATGAGCTGCCCCAGTAAGTGGCAGGAGGTGCCCATACCCCTCCGCCTGCCCCCAGGTGGCTCTGGCAGTTTCAGCCTCCATGGCACACAGAATCTGGCTACTGCCCTGCATCTCCAGGAGCACCTCTTGGTGTAAAGATGCACGACTTTCCCCTTCTGCTCCCTCTCTTTCTCCAGTGTGGTCTCCTGGGTCCCCAGGAAAGCGCAATGTGGGTGTGTCTGTGTCCAGAGAGCTGGGGAGAGAGAGCACCCGCCTCTGCGTGTGGAGATCTATGTGCAGAGCGTTGTGAGGGCCTCAGCTCCTGTCCCAGGTGTGGTGGCCTCACTACAGGGCAGGGTGGCAGGTGGAGCTCCTGAGGAGAGGCACCTGGCCGCTGGTTTCACATTGGGGGCCACATCTGTTTTACTCACATGGTGTCCAGCCCTCTGGCTTGCTGGCTGTGCTGAGCAAGCAGGACTCGTCTCGGTCCTGGTATAGATTATGATGTAGGGGGCTCACGTGATAAAGAGACTCACTGCAGTGCTTTGGATGAGTTATGAGGTGTTGGGAGGAAGGAGGAGGCCAGTGGCTTCCGACTCAGCTCAGACACCCTGTCACCAGGCACTGTCATTGGTCCCAGTCCCGCCCAGGTGCCGCAGCCCAGGAAGCTGCTAAGGAGTGACTCTTGTTGCCCTTGGGCCATAGAGCAGGCCTGCTCCCAGAGCTCAGGTGGCCTCCACTCCCAGGTAGTGGCACTACTCTCTCTGCAGCTGCCCTGGGAGCACAGCTACTCACAGAGTGATTTGATCTTCCCTGGGCTCATCTCCATGTCTAGAGCAGGAACACCTGTGGGTGCATACAGGCTAAACCACTGCTCACAGGAAAGACAGACTTCCACATGAGTACAGTGCGATGCATGCTGAAACAAACACCAGGGTTCCTTGTGGACAGAATGGACGGAAGTGCAGGCCGTGGGGCCAGAACAGTGCCCAGGCTCCTGTGCCCACTGGTGTCCAGCTGGACACCTTGTATGTGTTTCAGCTATCTTGTGACAGCTTTGTTGAAGCAGCTCCCTCAGGTGACGGAGCCCGATGTCAGGGCCTGGGCCCAGTCCTCAGCTCTGCCGCCAGCCCTGGCATCTGTGTCCCTTCAGCCAGGGGCACTTGGTTTCCTCTCCACTGCTGCTGAACTGTGTGCTGCAGCCTGACCTTCCTGTGGTGCAGCACTGCGGCTCGGTGGCCTTAGTGTGCTGGCCTCTTGGTGCTGGCCCAGTCAAGACCAGTTTCCAAGCCACTGTGTGCTATGCTGTCAATCTGGACACAGTCAGGCCCCTATTGCCCTCGCCTCCCAAGGGAGCTTCACAGTGCTCAGATGCCCAAGCTGCTGGAGGGGTTCGGTCTCTTGGGCCAGAGTTTCCTCTCTTCCTTCCCCCAAGTTGTCATCGTGCCTCCTTAGGAAGTTCGGCTCGCCTGTCGAGCTGTGTTTCTGAAGAGCTGGAAGTGCACACGTTCTACCAAAGCCACTTCCAGAGGATCCCTGACCCCACAGCACGGACAGCACCCCATTGTCCCCTGGGGACATGGCCAGTAAGCAGAGCCCAGGCCTGTGTAGCAGAGAGACGGGGATCTAGGAGGCAGTCATCCTTGGTTCACTATCCAGGCAGCAGGACGAGAAGGGTTTCTGTGCAGAGGAGTGGGCCAGAGTGGGGATGCCAGAGGGCCGTGGCACAGACTGACACTGCCTTGTGTCTCCCCACAGTGCGCCGGGGAGGAGGACTGGGTAGACAGCCGCACCATCTACGTGGGACATAAGGAACCCCCGCCGGGCGCCGAGGCCTACATCCCGCAGAGATACCCGGACAACAGGATCGTCTCCTCCAAGGTAGCCTCATGCTGGCCACAGCATGCGGAGGGAGACCCTGGTGGGCTCAGCCTTGGGGAGCAGGCTCAGCTGTCCCTGCAGCACTGCTATAGCACCGTTCCCTCCTGAGGCTCTGGCTGTTCCACTCACGTTGCGAACCAACTTGGCCCCCATTGAGGTCCTGTCCCAGGCAGCAACTGGAGCTGCAGTCAGCTTCGTGTGCAGGCCAGGCCAGGTCTCCTGCCGTACAACATGTGAGTTCCTCAGCTGCTGACGTGGCCCCAGCCTCCTAGGGGAGCCTGGCACTAAGCAGCGGAGTACGTAGGCACAGGGAACAGGGGTACTGGGCTGCAGAAAGGGAAGGGCAGGGACTCCTTCTCATGAGTGGAGCAGCCAGGAAGTCACGAGTCATAGCCCAGCAGTGGGTGAAAAGCTGGCTGCTAGATCAATCAAGGTGGGGCGGTGACACTGCCCGTGCAGGGCATGGGGCACTCAACCCCATGCAGGGTCTGCAGGTGCAGCCTGGATACCAGCTTAGCTTGGCAGGGCATCCCGAGCATGGCTGATGGTGAGCCTACTGGTAGATTGCTTCCCTCGCACCCGGTGTCCCTCCTGCATGTGGGCCCGAGGTGGCTGCTGAGCCCTTTGAGAACATCGGAGAGGCCCATGGGTGTCACTATTTGACAACAGAAAAGCTCAGCCTCTCAAAGCCTTTGTTAATCGATTTAGTTGTCACAGCAGGGTTTTTAACAAGTACGGCTTTAATAACTAGAAACAGGATGTGGGTAAATGAAGTGCTCAGGACAAATTCTCACCAAATAAGTGTCTCTGCATCTGCAGACTTGATAAATGGTGGAGGAACCCATCCGAGAGACAGGTCTTAGAGTCCCGTGCGTGCAACCAACTCGCCCACAGCCCTCAGGGACCCTGAGCTGTGCCATGAACCCCAGCCCTGTGCTGAGGTGAAGATTGCTGAGAAGCCTGCATTGTGCAACAGGGCCGGGTGCTCTGCCTGGGGTGCATGTGCCAGGCCGCACGGTCTGTCAGTTGGTCAGTTGTGTGGGAGCCTGAAACTGGGGCAGCTGTCGGTAAGGGTGCCAAATCCAGCCTATGGGAACATGTGCAGGGTGCCTGTCTGCTCCAGACTCAACCAAGGCCTGGCTTCTCCCATCTGGCAGAGCAGGGCCTTGGCTCCCCTAGCCATTGGTTCCTCTTGATCAACAAGGAAGTCAGAGAGAGCTCTGCAGGGAGCAGCAAGAGGAAGCCCCTGACCAGGGGCTGAAACCCTGTGGTTTGGGAGGGGAAACCTGAATGAAGTGATTTTAATTCTCCTGTCACCCGTCACCCTGCTGCCAGGAAGAGTCTTGACTACCCCTTTCAAAACTCGAAGGGCAAGAGCCCCAGAGTGCCTAGAAGGGAACCCATGCAGGTCACATGGGAGCTGCAGGTCCCTGGAGGGAGTCAAAGCCACTTCTCCCCTGGGCCCTTGTAGACCTGGAAACTCTAGAGCCAGGAACCAGCAGAATTAGGTCATTGCCCAGCAGAGAGCAGATTCGATGGGTGAGGTAGCCCTGAGCACTAACCAGCTCCTCTCGGATACTACCCTGTGCACCTCCTGACTGTGGTGGAGTCCTGTAAGTGGAGCAGCCCTGATGACGGCCACCCTGAGAGACAGTCGTAGACGAAGGGCACCTGACTCCCACTCAGGAAAGAGGCCACGAAGCCAGCAGGTGTGGCTGGCAGAGGCTTTGACTCCAAGGCCAGTCAAGCTCTGTAGAATCTTCCAACATGCAGGGGAAGACCCGTGACCATTTGTACTGAGAAAACGGAATTTTACAACAGATTTTGGAGAGGGCAGAATTGCTTCCATGTTGTCTTGAAGGAGAATTTTGGGTTCTTCTCACAAAATTCAAGGACTGCTCGTGAGCTGCAGGGCCCCTTCAGCATCTCACCTCCTGAGCATTGAGGCACCTGGTGGTGAGGATCTGACAGTGGCTAGGGCCCTCCCATGTCACACTGCTTGTCTGGGGGTTTCTCCACAGCCTCCAAAGCCAGCGATCTTAGAAGTCGGGTTCCTTGGGGTGGGGTGGGGCACCTGGTGGGAAGAGAAACAGGAAGTCATCCCCCCAGGTCCCTGCCACTAGTGCTGCTCCACCATCAGGGCTGTGGATGGCTGCTCACCACCCCACAGGGAGCTGTGTTCAGGGCACACAGCCTGTGCACACCCTGCTTTGTGGAAAGACTTAAGGAGAGCAGGGTCCTTCTGCTTATGGGGAAGAGGGCTCAGGGCTCCTACCTGGCTGTGACCGTGTATGGATACCTTAAGCTGCTGTGAATTACCATCCCCAGCTATCTATGAGGACACTGAGGAACAGGACGTGCCCAGGGCCCCAGGAGGGACGGTTGCTGTGCCCTCAGCCATGCTATTCTGGAGCCCATGGACTGGACGATGCCCTCCCTCTCCTGACCCACCTGTCCAGTATGTCCTGACCTGTCACCCTTCTCATGCCGGTTCTGGTCACACGGAAAGATGGGCCTTAGCCCTGTGTGGGACGACTGCCCAGACAGCCCAGTGTCTGGTCTCCGGTGTGTTTTTAGGGCGGTCACCTGCACACCTGGGGCCAGATCTGTTTCAGGGAAATAATAGCCCAGGAGCTAGGGCAGTGTCCAGTTGCATAGCCTGTGGCGCCAGGGCTGCAGGACCGATGAGGCTGCTCTGCACTCTCTTGGGGCACAAACTCAGGCATAACAGCCACAGATGGCTGAGGTCTGGGGTGCGGGAAGGCGTGGCCTTGCTGAGGGACCCTGCCTCATTACCTGAGAGGGCTGAGGGGTCGGCCAAGTCCTGGCTTCCTTACAGAGGACTAGACCCTGGGTCCACACCAGAGCTTGGGCACCCAAGTACCCAGTCACCACTGGAGGGTCCGTGGGCTTCTCCCTGTCTGAGGACATCCAAGCAAAGACTTGGACAGGATGCACAGAAGAGGTCTCGAGGTGCACATTTACTAGGGTGGAAAAGAAGTGCACTCTGCAGGGCAAGAGCAGGCAGGGAACAGACTCAGTGCCCCAGATGAGGCAGGGGGGGTCCTTGGTATCCAGAATCCCGAGTTGTCTGCCACTCAGGCAGGTGAGACTCTGGATGACTGCCCTGGCCTTTGGAAAAGCGGCTTCCTGCTATATGTAAATGAAAGATGGGGAGAGCCTTTGGACTGGCCCTGTCGTATGCAAATGAGTGTTGAAAAGAGCATCTTCTGATTGTTCCTGCAGACAGCACTGGGTTCCAAGGGAGGATTGAAAGCAGCGCTTTTCTGATTGGCTGTGGGCACAGTGACCATGGTGTCCCCATCACCCTGTGGAGGTGTCTTGTTACTTTCCTAAGAGCATCCCTCTGCTGGTTGCCCTGTCTTACCAGGACTAGCTGCTTCCACTGGTGGTGTTAGATGAGGTAGAAATTCACCAGGCAGCCTAGTATCCTGCCAGTCATCCCAGCCACTGTGGGGCACAGGTACTATGAGAGTCAGGGGACACCCTGGAGCATCCCGGGCAGCTGGGCCTGTCTTTAAGACTTTATCCCTAGCTCCCGATGGTGGGACATGCCATCCACCTGGTCTTCACACCACTGCACGTGGCACCACTGCTGCTGCCTGCACAGCTTGTCCTCCTCGATTTCCCATCCGCACAAAGCCTCGGTTCCTTGGCTGTCATGTGCCAGGAACATCCTGCCTGTGCCCACATGGCCCCAGCTACGGTCTAGTTCCCATGCCCAGGTCAATGTCTTGGTTGAGGATCTGCCCCTGTGTTCCTATTGGACTTTGACAGTTGAATAAAACATTGTTTTGCATGCTTGGAAGCATACTTGGAAGCACTGTAGAAGATGATGGTTTCTCTCACATGTGTCATCAGAATGTGTGAGTGTGGAAACCTGAAAGCTGCACAGTGGGTCCCCAGCTTATAAAGAAGTTCCATTCTGTCAGATTCCATCATAAGTCCGGCAAAGCAAGTCTGCATGGCTTTAACACAGATGTACAGTGTGCATTGCTCCGTGCTTCCTAGTGCCCCCTCCACACCAGCACTGCTTTTCCTGCTGCTTCTGGGCACCCTGGGCCCTGACGGAGGCCTGCACCGTGTGCAGTGAGCATGCAGCAACATAGCCATGACGGTGTCCAGTGGACACATGAGCCACTTCGGTGATTTGTTTGCTTCTGCAGAATGTTGGTAATGTGAGGTCCAATCGTGTCTGTAATGGTTTGCAACTCAGATGTCTGTAAGTTAAGGACTTCCTGTACGGAAAGGAAGTGTGGAGGCCCGAGAATCCCCACCTCCCTGCGGCCCCATGCCCCTCGACTCCTTCTGCGATTTCTGTCCCCAGATCACTGCAAAGGGAGTTCTAGCCCCAGACAGTTTCCATTTGTGAATATTTCAGTAGATGGAAGATGGAATTCTAAGTGAGAGACTTTTTTGTCTACTTTGTTATCAAGTAATGTATTTCAGAAATTTGGGGAAATGGTTTAATTAATACATGGGTGATAAGTTGTTGTCTGGGTGCAGGGAAATAGGCTGATTTCAGAGGCTGGAACCTTAAAATAATTCTGTTTTGTGGTTATCTCTTAAAAAGGAAAAGTATATGAGAGACAAATGCTAGAGAAAGAATATCCCAATGTCTCCTTTTAAAAATTAATGGAAAGTAATTGATTTTTTTTAATGGTCTACTTAAGAGTCTCTAAAATTTAAAGATTGATTATAGGTGCAGTTTTCAGAGTCTGTAGTTTGCGAGGACCTGCCATGGCTGGGCTTTGAGCCTCACTGCTGTCTTCAGGCCACCCGTCAGCCTCTTCTGTAGCCAGGAACACGGTCCTGCAGGAGGAGAAGGCTGTGAAACCCAATGTTAGTAACGAAGAAGACAAGCAGAGGGAGAGGGTCTGTGCACGTGGGAGGACTGCTCGGTGCCAGCCTGGCCTGGGCCCATTCCATCCACATCAAACCCCCAGCACATTACTTTCTAGATCTCAACTCCTGAGCTCTGAGTTTGTGTGAAAAGGCTCAGCCTGGAGGATGGGGGAGGGGTGGCCCCCAAAACAGCTTTGGGTGCTCGTTCTGAGCACAGAAATTGGGTGAAAATTCAGGACAGCAGCCAGAACCTCCTCTCCCCACTCCTCGCCACACACTCCACACAGTGGGCAGGGCCCTGGTGCTGCCAAAGAGCTGCAGTCCTCAGTGTGCCCCATGCCATGCATGCTGGGTAGATGCTGAGTACTGTCTTGCTCTGACCTCACTGTGTGGACACAGTGCCCTGGTTGTAGACGACACCTCCATTCTGAGGTCCTCTCGGCCTCTGTCACACCCGGGCAGCCTGCGGTGCAGGTGTGGTAGAGATGAAGGCAGCGGCAGTGATGGGTTTGGGTTTTATGGAAGATGTCTCTACAGTGGAACTGTTGTTGAGTGACTCTACATTTTGCCTTGAATTCTCTGGAATTAGGTAAGTCGTATATGCTGGCTTTGGAGTGCACTTTCTTTTTCAGGACTTTATTTTTGGGGTCAACAAATGGAGCAATTTCAACGAACACTAAATTTTGAATTACAAATTTTGTATCTAAAACTAAACATTTTATTTTGAAGGCTAGTGCTACCTATGTTAAAAAGTAGAATCTGATCAAAATGACTTATTTTGGCTTTTCTTTATACAGTACACATTTTGGAACTTCATACCTAAGAACTTATTTGAACAATTCAGAAGAATTGCCAACTTCTATTTTCTCATCATATTTCTTGTACAGGTTAGTCTGCACGTGATTTCCTGTCTACATGGCTGACACTTTATTTCCAGGTGGCTGGCACATGGAACTGATGCTTGATATTCCCTCCCTGCAGTTGGGGCACCCCGGGGCCTTGGCCGGAACACTCAGGGTCGCTGTGCACCCTGACACCCCTGCTACATCCTCCCTGGACCAACAGAGATCAGAATCAGTGCACCCCACTTTCCAAGGCGCATGCCAAGTATATGGCTATTCCTGAGAAAATCCAGAGAACTTGCACTTTAAAGCAGAGGAGAAAACAGAAAACACCGCCAAGGGTGTGGATTAGGGAGCAGTGAGCCACCTGTGTTAAAAGCACAATCCCATTTTGCTAAGTCGTGAAAATACGATTGAATGGTTTTTACATGTCCCCAGCATCAGATTATCCAGTAGTGTCATTGGAGTGGGACCCTGGCAGCAGCACAGTGATTAGAAGGCACCAAATGCCGGCTGGCTCTGTCCTTCCTGGACAGGGCTCCCTTGAGGGTGGTGCTCAGTTACCATGCTGCTTACCCAGTGGCAGGGCGACTGTCCCAGCACAGAGCTCTAAACATATGGCAGTGGGTGGGAGGTGGTGATGCAGGCTCACGGCCGACTCTTGCGAACGGTGCTTCTGAAAATCCATGCAGCTCATCATTGACACACCCACGAGCCCAGTGACCAGTGGCCTCCCGCTCTTCTTCGTCATCACCGTCACGGCCATCAAGCAGGTGAGAGCCCACAGGCAAGGAGGTGGCAGCTAGCTGCCGGCCACCTTTGCAGGACAGGGTGGTCGAGTGACAGCTGGGCACAGGGGTGTGCATAAGGCTGGCACCTGAGAAGCTCCTGGTTTGGTGCCTTGGAATTTGGATCTGCAGGTCCTAAGGCAGCCAGGGAGGCCCCTAGTGCAGGCACACCTTGTAGACGTCCCGTGCATTTCCTGCCTCAGTGGGCTCCTGGTGCAGACACACTGTGTAGACATCCTGTGCCCTGCCTGCCTCAGTGGGCCCCTAGTGCAGACACACCATGTTGACATCCCGTGCCTGCGTATGCTGCCCATGAAGCAGGCTCTTGTAAGTCTTAGGGCAGGAGTCATGATCTGATGCTGACCCCTGAGAGGAAAAATGTATTTTATTTGTATGTTTATGTTCAACTGACAGGTGTGCATACAGTATTTAAGGATACACAGAGAGGGCTTTGAGTCTAGGGTTCCTAGGGAGTAGTATTCTCTAGGGCTTGAGGCTCAGCAGCTTCTGGAGGGACTGTCCTGGATTCATTCCTCATGCAGCCTATGAGGGTTCCTGTGCCTCGGTGGCCTCCCTCAGGCTCGGCATCACTGGCCTGTTTACTATCACTGCCCCCCTGTGCCCTGGTGCCTGCCTTGCCACCTCTGCACCTCTCAGCACAGCGACACAGTACATATTGTTGGGTGCACCTGTTCATCTTTACAGAGGCATCTTCAAATCCTCTGTCCATCTCCATGGAGATATTTGTCTTTTTAGGGTACATTGTAAGGATTCTCCCTGCATTTAGAGAGGGGTCCCTTCTTCGTCACAAATGTCAGGTGTCAGGTGTAGAAGTCAGTGCTTCCTTGGAGACATTCGGTCCTTTGCAGAGCAGTGGTTTCTAATGCACTCTCTGATGGTCACCTTTTTGCTTCAGAGCTATGCTTTTCTGGTGTTAGTCTTCGTTTTAAAAAGCTTGAAATCCTATGTGAGGTGTGGGGTAGGCGCATTCCTTCGCAGACAGTGTGCCTGGCACACATGTGTCCCTCCTGGAGTCCAGGCCTGCACAGGAAACGGTGGGTTCTTTAGATATAAAACTGTCCAGTGCAGTCACCAATATTCGCCCGAGCCTTCTCACTCAGCAGCAGCCTGGATGTGCAGGTCCCGAGCTGGCGCCTCTGTGGGACTCCCAAGCTGGTCTGGCTCTGGCCGTCTGCCCGGCAGGTGGGTGATGCCGAGGCATCCAGACAGTCAGGGCAGAAGCCTCCACTGCTTGCTCAGCACTAACTCAGATGTTTCCCTGTCCTGCGGGTGTGTTGAGGGTATGCACAGCACACGGTTACAGAGCGGCCCACTGCTGTGGAAATGTGTGTGCCTGGGAGGGGGCGCATGTGCGGCGGGGCGCTGTCGGAAGGTACTGCCCACCTGGGCTGGACCCGCGCTGCACCATTAACTGTACCCTTCTCTCCCCGCCCAGGGCTACGAAGACTGGCTGCGCCACAAGGCGGACAACGCCATGAACCAGTGCCCCGTGCACTTCATCCAGCATGGCAAGCTAGTGCGCAAGCAGAGCCGCAAGCTGAGGGTGAGTGGGCACCTGAGTGGTGCAGCAGGGAGTCAGCACTGGTACAGCCTCGATGACCGACTGTGCCTGTGCAGCAACCACAGCCTGTGTGTGGGGCAGTCACCGCAGTGTGCGGAGAGCCAGCCGGGAATGGGGACTCACCCGGGTGCCTCTGGCCTCGCCCCTCATCCACACTCTCTCAGCCTGGCCACTGGCATGTGCAGCGTAGACAGTGCCTCTGCAGCTCCACTGCTTAGCCCACCTGAGGGTCTCATGGCGCTATCAGCCACTGCCCCATACATGTCAGCGGCTTCCAGTTCTCCTGTGCGTGGTCACCCAGTGCAACCCCTCTGCCCCTCAAACTGTACACCCCTCATCAGCTCCAGGCCACTGCCTCAGGCAGTGGGGACTGAATGTTAGGCGCAGACAGGCCATGGAAAGTACCTGCCTGCAGATGGACACTGAACTCTGCGCTGTTCCTGTGACGGCCCTGTGCCCTTGGCAATGTCTCCGGCACTTGGAGACTAGCGTTGTTCTTAGGCAATGGGGCTACACAGTGTCTCTTCAGGAAACTAAGTTTCGATGCCTTGGCTTGGCCTGCACCACAGGTGCTGCCCACTCTGTGAGTCTGTGACCCTAGGGTTTACCCATGCACCCAGTCTGGCAGAAGAGCTCCTGTGGCTGGGCCTAGCTCCGCTGGGTGTGATGATGTGGCTTAGCTGTCCCCAGGGGACGCCCTTTTTTGATTTTTACTTGTTTGTTTCCCTTTTGTGATTTTTACTTTGGATAATCACCGTCACTGCAGTTGTGAGGAAAACAGGGCTCGTGTTCCTGTCCACACGCTGCCCATCCCAGGATTAGTCATTTCCAGGGAGCCACGTAGCCAGGCAGTCTGTCCCACACAGCCGAGCATGTGTCACGGCATGCGCACACCTGCTGAGTGTGTCCTGTTGTGGGCCTGTGGCCTGCCAGTCACAGATGCAGGACAGTGAGGTATTTTCCCTCTGCCTGCCATGCACATCTGTGTATCCCCTGTTCCATGGCGATCCGTTTCATTGCTTTGGCATATGAGCCTGTGAGGTCCTGCTGGCTGTGTGACGATCACTTTAGCTGCCTGGCACCTCTGGAGTGACCCTGCAAGCGCTGGCTCCCAGTAGCCATGTTGGCCTTGGCCGGCTCCTCTGCTTCCTGTGTGAGGGGCTCCGTGTTTGCATCGCTCTCCCCGAGGCTGGCTGAGCCTGCTCCCTGGGTCCTCTTCCTGTCTCTTCCCATTCTCCATTGTGTGGGTTGAGATTGCTTTCATGGTTGAGTTTGGTTTGTTTTTTAATATTTTCCCATGCTTGTTTACTAATTGTTTCATAACTTGTACATTGACCTGTTGGGCCTTTGCCTGTGTTTTTATTGTCCCTGTGTAATGATGCCTCCCTGAATTTCGGTCATGACGGCCATGCTTTCAGTGATGGATGATGTGGTATGGTGCCTTTCCTGGGGGATCCTGCTTCGGTGATGTGACCTAGCCCCTGCCCTTTGTGGCCCCCCGCACACTCCTCAGTGTTGTGGCTCCACGTTTGACATGGACGTTCTGTTCCTTTGAGCTCCTTGTCTGTGAGGAGTGGGGTTCTGGCAGCTGCAGGCCTGCTGCTCTGGTGTTTCATGGAAAGCTTCTCTTCCCCGTGTCAGTCAGGAGGGATCAGCCTCCCGCATGGCGTGAGATGCCTCCAGCTGGGGTCTGAATGAGACCCGACCATCTGGAGGGAGAGCCCCACCAGGGTTGCTCTCCCCACAGAGGTGAAACCCTGACTACCCGTTCTTTCCTGCTTGCAGGTTGGGGACATCGTCATGGTCAAGGAGAATGAGACCTTTCCCTGTGACTTGATCTTCCTGTCCAGTAACCGGGGCGATGGCACCTGTCACGTGACCACTGCCAGCTTGGACGGGGAGTCAAGCCATAAAGTAATGTGTGATGTCTGAGACATGGCCCGGGCTGGGACATTGAAGTCCTGGCCCTGGTGACACCAGGGCTTGTGTGGCCAGTCCTCCTGACTCTGGCTTTTCTGTCCTCCACTTCTTGCTTTCCACCCACAATGTCTGTGATTTCTGCATTACCCAGGGGACTAAAAAGGTGTCAAGTGAAGGATTTGGTGAACATGGTCCTGCTATTTTAGAGGCCTTCACTGGGTTGCTCAAAACTTGTGTCTTTCCAGTCGGTACTCACACGGAAAGTCACGCAGCTCCAGGTCTTGCCTGGTTATTACTTCCTGTCCTGCACCAGCAATCTTAAAGTAGTTTTCTGGAACTCTAATTCATTTGTTACACTTAGTGCAGAGTTCTACCCTGACAGTTACACCTACAAAATTTTAATAATCACAGAGAATGTAGCACTATTAATTTTAAGGTTGGTCTTATTTAAAAGAATCTAAAGTTTCCAAGGAGGGTGTGAGGGGACTGAGCACAGTGGAGTCAGCCACTGCCAAATGTTGGGCAGCACCCATGGACAAGGAGGTTTCTAACGTGGGGTGAGGAATTCTCTTTATAGGTCACCAGAGTACTGTAGACCTATCCTTTCACAGCATGTGTTTTATGTTTCCTGTGGCACCTTCCTGGGGGGTTAGTGCCTGCCGTGAGCAGTTGTGACAGGGCTTCCGGATGGCAGACCCTGCCTGATTCAAGGCTTTACCCTATGCCTGGGAAGAAGTCAAGGCCCAGTTTCCTTGAGATCTCCCAGCCCTCACTCTCCAGTGGCAGAGTCTGCTGTCCACTCTGTCCCAGACTAGTGGGGATCAGCTCGGGGGCCCAGGGCCCAGGGTCCAAAATGAAAGCTTGGGGCGTTCACTCTGGTCCAAAGCTGGGGGCTGGGGTGCAGTCACCACTCCATGCCCATCTGTATCTGAGCTTTGCATTTTTCTGTGTTCTCTGGAGCTGCTTTTACACCTTTGGCTCTGAAGACAGTTAGGGGAGCCCTTTCCTTGGAGGCTTATCAGGGCATGGGACAGGCCCAGCCACCAAGGTTTCCACTCGGCCCTTAGGACCTGGGCAGTCTTTCCGTCTTCTCTGAACTGTCCACATCTGCAAATCAGGGACAGACCCATCCTTTAGAGACTCTTGAGAGAAGATAACAGGGAATTTCCCGAAGTCCTGGGGTACACTAAATGCCCAGTGTGGCCGTCACATCCCCTCTGGTGTCAGTCCACTGTGGACTGTATTGTCCCACACACAATTGCTAGAAGACACACAGAAGGACATGGAATGGACAAGGGAGAGGGCATGAAGGGGCGGTGCCTCCCCCCACACCCACACTGCACTCCTTTCTTCTTCCACAGCAGAGCAGGTGTGCGGCCCAGGCCCAGCATCCCTACAAGGAGGTTCTGTCTGAACAGAACTGTGGACCTAGACAGTGCCTCAAGTGTCTCGGCTCCACGCGGCTCCCATGTAGGGAGCGCAGAACGTGCGCATTTGGGCATGGTCAGGCTTCAGGGCCGTCAGCCCTTGCAGGAGCTGCACTGGGCCAGCGGGTTCTCGCCGAGCCATTTGGGGCAGAGGTGGGGGAGCAGAATGAGGAGTTTCCCAACAGGCCCACTGGACCTGTACGGTGTCTCAGCCAGGGCTCCCCAATCTATGCTCTGAGACTGTGTAAGATGCATAGACCTAAGTGCTGGTGTGGAGGAGCCAAGCCCTGCACCCTGTCCTGCCAGTGGTGGGGAGAGGATGTGTCCTGTCTCATCTTTAGCAAATGGGGTGGGTCAAGCATCCATCCAGGAGGTAGCACTGGCCCGAGGGTTCCTATGTGGCCCATGCGGACCCCACAGCCCAGGGGACTTAGGGGTGAGCCCATCTCCTGTCGCTTGCAGACTCACTATGCCATCCAGGACACCAAGGGCTTCCATACTGAGGAGGATATCGATGCCCTGCACGCCACCATTGAGTGCGAGCAGCCGCAGCCTGACCTCTACAAGTAAGTGGGGTGCATGGGGACAGGTGTGAGTGGGCAGCCAGGAACGAACAGTGTGGCCATGCTGAGTTCTGCCCAGCTGGTCACAGTGACATCAGGTGGGTTCACTGACCATCTTTGTGTGGATCCATAGCCTTTTGTATATGTTAAAGAGGCTTATTGGGGGGTCACACAAAAGTGGCTTCTTTGTTGTGAGGAAGCTGTTTGTAAACTGGGGTCACGTGAGTCCTTTACAAGGTGGACCGGGAGAACGGAAGGAAAGCGAAGGCAGCAGCCGTTGAGCCAGCATGCTAGCTTGCGGGCCGTGCCCCAGAGGGCAGCCACCAGGGCGCACACACCCCTGACCTGAGCTTCCCCTGCAGGTTTGTTGGACGCATCAATGTTTACAGCAACCTCAGCGACCCCGTGGTGAGGTGAGTCTTCTGCATTGCCCTGCTGATGAGAAGCTGGCCCATTAGGGATGAGTCTCCCTCATTGATGCTGTGCGGATCTTGGAGGCTGGGCTCCACCCCGCAGAAGCGCAGGGCCATGGTCTCCCCAAGTTCCCCAGGTGCTGAGGGCCTTTGTGCGGGTTGGACCTGACCAGTGCTGCTGCTGCCCTAGCCAGGGCACATGGCATCTGGCATCTCCGGTCAGCAGTTGTCTGCCAGGGAGGTGTTGAAGTTTGCGGTCTGGGATTGGCTTGGTGTAGATTTTGAAGCTGTTCCTTTTCCATAAATCCCGCTTTGTTGGAGAAGTTATTTTTCTCCCAATCTAAGCAGTCTCCAAGCAGTGTGGGCCTGGTGTCCTGCTGTGCTAAAGGCTGAGTTTCCTGGGCTGGGAACAGCAGCATGGGAAGTCATAGCCCAGTGAGGGCCACTCGGGGCTGTCCTGACATTTGTGTCGTCCTGAGGCTGCAGGAAGCAGTTTGTGCCTCTGTGAGCCCAACCTCTTCGCCCTCCCCAGGATTCCCAGCCCCTTAGCATGCTTCCTCCTCCTGTCCAGACCAGAAGCACAGCACTTTCTCAAGTGGATTATTTTTAGACTTCCCAGAGACCTGTGCTAAACAGGCCGTTTGTTTCCGTAAACGCTCGTGATGGGAGTTATGTTCAGCGCGCTGCTGCCCGTGTGGCTGATGGCCCAGGCAGCGGTTGAGGCGCCCTCAGGCCTCGGCCTCCACACTTCCCTCCCGTCCTGGCCTCCAGGGGGCGCAGTCTGCACCACGTGTGCGGAATGCACATTAGGGCCTGCTCCTCAGTAGGTTCTCAGCCTCCTGGTGAGAGGAATAAAAGCAACCTTGGCAGGCGCTTCTGCCCTTTCCCATCACCCTCCAAGGGAGCATTGGATGTCGCCAACAGCACAGTCTGGAATTCTGCGTCTTATTTTCCTCCAGTGCTTAGGAAGTGGGAGGTCGCGCTGCTTGGTCACCCAGAATAGCAAGACCTCAGCGCTCTCCATAGTCGCTGCCTGGAGCAGTGCTGGCTTCCAGGGAGAGATTTAGGGTCCCTGCAGCAACTGTGTAGCAACCTGCAAGCAGATGGTCTGGACTCTTAGACTTCCAAGGCCGCGGTGCCTCTGCCTTGATCCTTAGAAACCTGCTTGCATGAAGTAGGACTCCCTGACCCCACGAGGTGTGACAGAGACAGCCGATGGCTGGGTGAAACTCAAGCCTTCGAGCTGGGCCTGTGGGTGTCACATACTAGGTGGCTGAGGCAGAGGATCACAAGTTGAAGCCCACCCTGGGCAACTCAGTGACTTACCAAGATTATACAAAATAAAAAGCACCCAGGTGATATAGCTCAGTACCAGGCCTGGGTTCTATCAGTGCCCAGTGAGACTCCCATCTTCTGCCTTTGCAGCCATCCTCAAGCTAAGGGTGCCTGAAGGCCTTGGCAGGCAGAGGGAGAGTTGCAAAAGGCTGAGGTGACATTTCCAACACATCCCCAGGTGCTACTGGTAGCACTCAGGTGGGGGAGGGGGCCTGGTTCGTGGGCTTCAGTGCAAACGCTCTTGGAACACTTGTCTTATGGTCGGGGTTGGGGCCCAGAATCCACCTCTTCCCAAGACCCCTCAGATGCAATGCATCATAGCTCTGTCTCTGCAGGCCACTGGGGTCTGAGAACCTGCTGCTGAGAGGAGCCACCCTCAAGAACACAGAGAGGATCTTCGGTATGCAGGTCACTCGGGAGCAAGAGTCCCAAAGCCCAGGTTCAGCAGAGTGGGCTCTTCAGGCTGAGGGCCTGCGGGTTTCCCTCTGGGAACCTGAGTGCTGGGGGTCCAGGCTGTAGAGGGAGGGGCCCCAAAGAGTGAGGCTTGCTTGGGAAGGGCCTGCAGGTTGTGCCCCAGAATGGGAAGTCGCAACTGTGAGGGGTTTGCACTGTATTGTCCTGCAGGACATTAGGCTTGTGTGTGTATGTTTGCATGTGCGTGCATGTATGTTTGGGGGCATGCGTGTGTCCATGGGCTATGGATGTGTTTTAAAGGGCGAGATAACACTAAGACAGGCGCATGTGGCCTGCCAGGACGGGCATGAGATGGAGGAGGCTGCTCCTCGGGCAGGCGGGAGCCCTCAGTGAGGGGTACCCATGCCCACAGGCAGTGCACTCCTGGTGAGGCCTGTGTTCTCTAGGGATCCACTTCCTGCTCCTGTAGGCTGCTCACACATGGGTGCTGGGTGTGCCTTTGTGCGGCTCACCCATGGGCTTACATGGAGGCTAGGCCCCTCTGGGTGCCACTGTCCTCACATGTGCCTTCCACTCTCAGGGGTGGCCATCTACACAGGCATGGAGACCAAAATGGCCTTGAACTACCAGTCCAAGTCCCAGAAACGATCTGCTGTGGAGAAGTAAGGCTCCTCATGCTGCCGCAGGAGGGACAACAGGGCCGTCCGGACACAGGGGTCCCACAGTCACACACCAGAGTCCTGCAGTGGCCCTCGGATTGGGACGGGATGACAGGGATACCACCTACTACCATGCGAGTCCTATCCATGGCCCTGCAGCTGGCTCCCGTGCCCTGGGCGCCAGGTGGGCCCCACCCCCAGCCCAGCGCTGGGCAGCCCCGTTTCCTTAGCTGCTGCTGAACGGGCTCACATCCTTTGCTCCAGGTCCATGAACGTGTTCCTCGTCGTGTACCTCTGCATCCTCATCAGCAAGGCGTTGGTCAACACCGTTCTCAAGTACGTGTGGCAGAGCGAGCCCTTCCGTGACGAGCCTTGGTACAACCAGAAGACCGAGTCGGAAAGGCAGAGGAACCTGGTGCGGACGGCGACTGCCTCTGTGTGGTCAGGGTGGCCGCCAGGTGGAGGTGGGAGGGAGGCCCCACTGTGCACAGGAGGCCCTTACAGAGGAACGCTCAGGGCGCAGGGTTGGAGTCTCAGCTGCCACTGCCACCTATGTGAATTCACAGGTAGGAGATCTTGGGGGAGAGGCCCCGGGGGCGCCGTGCAAGGCCTGTGTCCACCGGGAGCTTGGAGCATTCGCACGTGCCCAGGGTTTTGAGATGAATGCTGCAGTGTTAAGAATGTGGGGAAAGGGCTGCTCTGCGTCCCAAAACAGGGCACACACACGCCCAGGCTGGTGTCCTGCAGGTAGAGGCCTAGTCGGCCCCAGGCTGCATCTCCAGGCCTGGCTCCCCTGCCCTTGCCCAGCCCTTCCATGGCTGCAGAGAGAGAAATGGACTGTCCAGGAAAGCCATTGTCACCAGGCTTTGTTTCTTAGGGCTAGGGTTTGGGTTGGGGCAGGACAGGACAAGAGTAGAGTTCTGTGGTCTCTCCCCGGTCACACATGGTTGCATTTGGCTCTTGGCAGGGGTCCCCGTGGCCACGTCCACTGACACATCCTGCACTCTCAGTTTCTCAGAGCCTTCACTGACTTCCTGGCCTTCATGGTCCTGTTTAACTACATCATCCCCGTGTCCATGTATGTCACCGTGGAGATGCAGAAGTTCCTGGGCTCCTATTTCATCACCTGGGATGAGGACATGTTCGATGAGGAGACTGGGGAGGGGCCACTGGTCAACACGTCCGACCTGAATGAGGAGCTGGGTCAGGTCAGTGTCTCAGCTTGGCATCACCTTGGGCCCCGATGCATGTCCTGGTGTGGCAGCCACAGCCTGCGTCAGACCCAGGGCAGAGAAACTGGTGGTTGGGTCATGATGGATGTGCTGCTCTCACCTGAGCAGCCATGTGAGAGGAAGAGGGAGAAGGAGGAGACAAAGGGAGAAGTCAGACCCTGTTTCCAGGTCACAAAGAAAACACGAAAGGCTCCACCAAAACTTTAGAACAAATAAATTCAAGAAAGTTGAAGGATATAAAATCAACATACATAAAAGTCCTGGGTATTTGAAAACATCAACAAACCACAAAATAAATCAACAAACTTGTTTCAGTAGCAGCAAGACCACAATGTCGCCTGGTGAGCCAGTGGCTGCGTGTCTGGTTTCAAACCCCTATTTGTGTTTATGAAGCTGGGAAGATCACATGGCCAGCAGGGAGTTTGTGAGGTTGCATACAGTGGCCGGCACCTGCTACATGCTCGACGGACATCTGTCCTGATTGTGGTTACTACTGTTAGACACCATGGTCAGAGTTCCTGGAAGTGTACCACCCGTGCTCCATAGCTGAGCACACTGATAAATTGAACTGAACAACACTGATCCCATTCTTCTCTATTGTACCTTTGAGGACGGGTTAAGGTCTACTGTACTATTCTGATCGTACCTAGGCTTATGTACTAATGCACATCAGTGATCCTTGAAGCCCTTATCCCAGCTGGGATCAGTGTAGGAACTCAGCTGAGGAGGCTGAGTTGCACTGGTGCTAGCTATGCTGTCCTCCTTCCCTGTGGCCACAGCAGGCCCAGCCTCTATGGACCTGGAAAGGCTTTTAGGCGGTGGGCCGAATTCAGGGGCCAGTTGTGATTCTAAGGGGTCGCTGGGCAGCACTGCTGTCCTCCTGGTCTGTTGTTAGAGCCAGCTCGCAGGGGAAGGTGTTGTTGGCCGTGGGTTTCTAAGAGCTCATTCTCAAGAGATGTATGTGGGAGTGGCACCCCCAGAGCATAAGCTGCACCCCACTCTGTCCCCACTTGAAAGCTTGCCACCCTGTCCTGCCCCTGGCTCCTTTACTGGTGCAACATGGCTGTGTCACCTGTGCAGTCACCCAGGTTCGGGTTTAGGCCTCCCTGTGTTCCTTCACTGTCCCCAGCCTCTTTCTGTAGTTCACTTTGTGTGCCTGTGTACTGAGTTCTGTCCTCTGCACCTTATGTGGCCTCATGAGCTGTGGCCGCAGGACCTCCAACCCTTCCTTTTGTTGCTGTCAGAGATTCCAGAACTCCCTACCCCAGGCCCCCAAACCTCAGGGTGCTGGCCACACCTGAGGCCACACCTGAGGTCACATCGCCAGCATGCAGAGAAGGGCCACCTGTCCCCTGCATGGTGCCTGCCCGGTGGCTAAGGAGTCAGCTGGCCCAGGGTGAGGACCCAAATCTGAGTGCGTGCCACCCACGTATGCCCGCAGGTGGAGTACATCTTCACTGACAAGACGGGCACCCTCACTGAGAACAACATGGCCTTCAAGGAGTGCTGCATCGAGGGCCACGTCTATGTGCCCCATGTCATCTGCAACGGACAGGTGCTGCCCGACTCTTCAGGCATCGACATGATTGACTCATCCCCAGGTGTCAGCAGCAGGGTAGGTGCACCCACTCTGCCACTTCACTCTCAAGAGCATCCCCTTTCTTTTTTTTTTTTTTTGTCTTTTTCCTTTTTATCGGTACTGGGGATCAAACTCGCAACTGCCTGCTTGCAAGTCAGGCACTTATGCCGTTGAGCTAAACCTCCAGCCCCGAGCATCCCCTTTCATTCGGGCTGTCTGGGGAAGCAGGGGCCCCAGGGGGGATGGGGTGGGGGCTGGTCAAGTGCTCTGTGGACATTGTGTCCCCTTACAGTGCGTGGCCAGGGAGTCCCAACCCAGACTCAGAGCCTCTGCCAGGCAGGCAGTATACTCTTGAGTGTGCAAACACGTGTGCAGACAGATGCGTGCACAACTTACATAGTCATACACATGCACAGATTGGTACACATGTTCATAGCCACATAGACACATGTGCATATATACACGTTTATCTGTGTGCGCAGACATTTCTGCCCTGTGCATAGGACTGGACCTGGACTCCGGTCCACCAGAGACTGCAGAAGTATGTGGGGCTGTCCCATGGTTGTGCAGCCAGGCACTCTCAACCAGGGTCCTGTGGCCCCCTGGCTGGGCACCAGCTGACTTCTACATGCAAAGCAGGGAGCAGGTGTTGGTGACCCTCCTGTCCCCGCCCTGCTGTCCCATGCATGCAGCACTTCAGGCAGCCTGTGTGGAGTGACCTGAACTGGGGGCAGCTTTGGGGTCCCCATCCGCCTGCTGAAACAAGAGCATGTCGCCCAGTTTCCTTAATGTTCATTTCCGTGACTGCTGAGCATTAGGCTGTAAGCACAAGGCTTACAAGGGGGTGAGGCCCCTGGAGGGGCTCTCATTGTCACACTGAGCCTAGGTCCAGACCACAGAGCCAGGTGTTGGGGTGTGGACATTCATGTGTGCATGCAGAACCCCATGGTTCCTCGGGGCATTGCACTCAGACCACACCTGTCTCCAGCCGCCCTGCACAAATCCCCAGTCAGTGCTCTAGGACTTGGGAGCCACCCTGGCTGCCCAGGCCCTGCCCATGCCCCTGTCCCTGTGTCCCTGTCTTTTTTTTTTTTTTTTTTTTAAGAGGAAAAAGAGAAAAACACAAAACAAAACAAAGCGGTGTAAGGGTACACGTAATACAGAACTACAAAAAAAAAAAAAAAATAACAGTAAGAAATCACCTGTTAATAGATTACATATTATCATCTTGAAAATAGTTACTCAAATCACAGTATCAAAGAATACAAAGTGGACATTCAAACAGGGAGACTGCAAACAGCTGTGTTCAATGATCCAAAAACATTGATAAAGTCAGCTATTTAACCTGCCATGGCTCTTTGTGTGCCCCCCAGGAGCGTGAGGAGCTCTTCTTCCGGGCTCTGTGTCTCTGCCATACCGTCCAGGTGAAGGATGAGGACCACGTAGATGGCCCCAGGAAGTCGCCAGACTCGGGGAAATCCTGCATATACATCTCGTCCTCGCCTGACGAGGTGGCACTGGTGGAGGGGGTGCAGAGGTGGGCCTCTTCTGACTTCCTGGTCCTGGACAAAACTCTAGGCCACAGAGAAATGGGCACCACGTTCCCTTACCCCATGCATGGCCCTGGGCACAGGTGAGGGCATGTCACTTTGGAAGTGGAGGCCCTTCTTCAGGTGGCATGGTGCCCGGCGCCTACGCTGTGGAGTTGAGCATGAGTTCCGTCCATGTCCCTTGCATTCTGCACACCTGGCAAACTTGGGGGCCGGTGTCACTGTGGGCGAGTGCCCTGCACACTGCACCCTACCCGGCCCCAGGTCCCCAGGAAGAGCATGGCTCCTGGTCAGGGGATTGGGGGGAAGGCTGGGGGCCACACTGACTGGCCCGTTCCTCACAGGCTGGGCTTCACATACCTGCGGCTGAAGGACAGCTACATGGAGATCCTGAACAGGAACGGCGACATTGAGAGGTGAGGCCCACAGCTCCCCCTGCTCTGTCCAGGGACGGACCCTGGGTGTGGGTGGGGAAGGGGTCGTGGTGCCGGGCTGTTAGCCCAGTGGTGTCTGTGGGTGGTGAGTTGGTAACGGTGAAATGCTTTGTCATCAGATGTTTCAGTTAAGGGGGTTATACTGCTGGAGCTCTCAAGGCATCTAGAATGTTCTGCTCTGTGAAGGCTTCTAGAATGTTCTGCCCTCCCAAGATTTTTAGAATGTCCTGCTCCCTCAAGGCTTCTAGAATCTTCTGCCTTCTCAAAGCTTCTAGAATCTTCTGCCCTCTCAAGGCCTGTAGAATGTCCTCCCCTCCTCAGGCCCTCTTACTCTCCAGAGGGAGGAAGTGACTGTCACCACATGTGACTTAGTGCCTAGGGTCATGGATCACCATTTCCTCTGAAAAGCTTGTGCAGTTGCCCTTTCTATTTTAACCCTTCTTTAGATTTAGTATTGGGGATTGAGCCTCAGGGTGCTCTGCCACTAAGCAGCACTCCAGCCGTTTTTGTGTTTAAGTGTGAGGACAGGGTTTCAGCAAGCCCCGATGTGGCTCAGGCTGGCCTTGAACTTGGCATCATCCTGCCTCAGCCTTCCTGGTAGCTGGGATTACAGGCATGCACCCCTATGTGGGTGTACAGCTGTGCTTTTCAGGTTCCAACTCCATGTGGGGGCATCTCAGTCCCAAGTGCCCATCTCTATGAGAGAGGACAGATCTTGAGTCTTGCTCAGAAGCTTGGTTGATGAACGGGCACAGGTGTGTAGTGACAGACACCAGGCAGTGAAGGAAGAAGACTGGGTGCTGACAGCCTCAAGAAACCGAACTGAAGCATCACCCTTAGAGAACAGGCTCCCGTGTGAGTGGGAAGAAGAGTGCCCTCGGCCATGGGCGGCCCAGCCCTGCACTGTGCGGCTCCTGCTGGCTCCGAGGGCCCTGCGGGACATGACTCACTGAGGCTGAGGCCCCCAGCTTTTAAGCACTGGTGTGAGGTCTCTACAGAGACCAGAACCTGCGGCCCCCTGTGCCGGGACTGCAGCTGGCAGCCACCCTCTCCCATCTCCCTGCAGGTTCGAGTTGCTGGAAGTCCTGAGTTTCGACTCCGTGAGGAGGCGGATGAGTGTCATCGTCAGGTCAACTGCAGGTAGAGGCTTCTGGGGCCACACGTGTGGCTGCCAATGTAGGAGCTCAGAGGGTTCGCATCTGAGAACCATGTATTCCTACTTCTCAGTACAGACAGAGCCACTGGTTTCTAAAAAGTGAAATGTTTTTTGTTTTGGGGGATTTTTTTAGAACCAGAGATCGAACTTATGACGTCATGCTCAGTGAAATGTGTTTTTAAACGTGAGGGTCCAAGTTTGGACTCTGCAGCCTTAGCTCTGGCCTTGGTGTTGAGTTGGGCTTCTTTCCTTGCTGAGAAGCTCACATTCCCCCACTTCTGCCGTGTGCCCCACACTCTGCTGCGCGGGTACCCAAGCAGCCCCATCTGGGTGAAGGGGGAACTGGCTACAGACGTCTCTGGGTGCAGAGCAGACCCGGGCTGATAGTGTGGACGTCCGCAGAGAGCAGCGAACCACTTTGTACCCAAGAACCAGGTGCAGGCTGGTGGGGTGCAGCTGGGGCTAACCTCTGTGAGCCATGCATGTGCTGCTGGCACCTCCACCTGTGCTGTGCCTGCCACATGTGCTCCCCACTGTCCTGGAGGGCTCAGCACCATGCAGGGCCCTGCTGCCTCTCCCAGGGCCCCCAACACCCCGTGTGTACAGGCCAGTGCTGCACGTCTTTCCTCTGCCTAAGGCTCCATGGCCTCTGTTCCTCTGCACTGGGCCCAGGGCATCCCACGGGGCAGTGTGGGTGTCTGCACCACACATATCTGTGTTCTTGGACTAAACGGACCTGATCTTATGGAGCTTGGCACCAGCCAGGTCCCCAGCACTGCTGCTGAGAGCAGTTATGTGGACACTAAGGAGGCAGGGAACCTCCTATGTGGGGCAGTTCTGCTGTTCATGTTGGGCAGCCAAGCCTTCCCCTCCCTCCTAAGACACCACTGAAACAGCTGTTAGTGTCCTGTGACCTCTTGCCCAGGGACTGAAGCGTATGTGTTGGACTGGGGCTGCTGGGAACCCTGCTGTCTGTCTCAAGCACATTCCCACCAAGCATGAGGAAGGAGCAGGCCAGGCCAGTTCAGCAAGCACACAAGGTCATGGGGTGACAGAGGAAGCAGCTTGGCCTTGTGTCTACGTGGAGAGAGGTTCTGGCAGCCTGGCATGGTCAGCAGGGTGATACCTGGAACAGGCTTGGATATTGACAGCTATGTCACAGAGGTGGCTGCCCTACCCTGTTGTGGTGTGTGCTGGCCTGCAGCGCTGGGCCACTGGGCTGTGTCCAGTGGAAGTGTTGAGTGGTGGATGTGCTATGGGTCCCTCATTCCATGATGCCTGCTGAGCTGCTCCTGACACTGCTCCTGACCCTGGGAGTTACAGCCATTTCTCACATGTGACAGGTGTTTCACCATCCTGAGGCACAGGGTCACAGGGCCCCGCAGCAACATGGGGAGAAAGCACTATCAGCACCAAGGCCCAGGGTCCCCTCTAGAGCATCACATGCCCAACCCCAGGGCTCTTGAGATCCAATGTCCACAGCAGCTGTGGCTGAAACAGCCTCTCGGCTCTGGCCACTTCGAACCCACGCATAGCACTGAGCAGGGTGTGCATTAAGGGATAGGGTGTGCTGTGGACACACGCGATGCCTGGTCCCACAGCTCTGTGAGAGGTAAGGGTGGGGGCACCTGTTGCAGAGCATTCCGAAGACCCACTCCTGATGGCTGTGATATGGGCCGCAGAGCTGGCCTCATGGACCTGGGGACAGACATGGGGAGTCCATCCAGGACCTTCTCTGTGATGGCCATGCTGCCCACAGTGATACATGAGCATGCCGGGGAAGAAATGGCCACACATCCCGTGCTGCCCACTGGTGTCCTGCTCCTCAGCGGTGACACAGCCTCTGTGAGCTGCAAGTTGTGTCCATTCTGAGCTCTGACCTACATCCAGGTCCTCTTGTCCTGCAGCAAGTGGCCCCAGGGCTGAGCCCTGGTGGGGACCAAAGCCTGTGTGCTCTGTTGTGTCCCCTGTGTAGCTGTACGCACACCTGGGAAGGTGGGTCTGGGCCAGACACCAACATCACTGTCCCCGTCCTGGCCAGGCAGTGCTTCCTGTGTCCTCTGGACACTGGCAAGCCCTGTGTTTGGTGTCATGTATCTCACTGTGACTGCAGAGGGCTGGTAGAGGCCTTGGGGAGGTTAAGTGGTGCATACCAGAAGACAGGGACGCACCACCTGTGACGACCCAGCACCAGCTGGTAGTGACCTGTGATGATGGAGGACCTTGGCACTGTCCTCCCCCACAGCCTCACACAGCCCTGGCTGGCGCAGCACCACACTATCCAGCACTGTCCCTCCACCATAGGTGACATCAATGTAATGATCGGCATCATCATGGCTGACATGGTGACCTCCTATGTGACATCATCTAGGGCAAGTGTCACATCCATGTCTCGGGAGTTTTCCCCATTTGCACCTTTGGGGGTTGCGGCCTCCCAGGATTTGAGGGCAGGCACAACAGAGGCCTGGTGTACAGAGCCCTGAGCCGGCACTTGTCTGCCCTCTGCTGCCTACTGCTGAGGATGGTCCTGCTCTGTCACCATGTGCTGCCATCTCTTCTGAAGGGGTTGCGGCTCACCTTCCCTGCTTCAGCAATGCCACCTCATCACCACATGCCCTGTGCCTTGGTCCCCAGGGGCAGCTCCGTCCTTGGCTGGACCCTGTACCTGGGCCTGGGTTGTAGGAGTGAAACAGAGCTCCGGTACCTGCGGTTGGGTCACTCCGTCACCCCCTCCTGTCATCTCCACACTCCCCTGTTGGCTTGGGGTGTTCATGACGGCGAGATTGAACTGTGACTCACTCCCCTAGATTGTGACTGCCGTCATCTTCTCTCGTTGGCAGGGGAGATCTATCTGTTCTGCAAAGGGGCAGATTCCTCCATCTTCCCACGGGTGATTGAAGGCAAAGTGGACCAGATCCGGTCCCGTGTGGAGCGCAACGCTGTGGTGAGGAGCTGCCCTGGGCCCTCCTCCCCATGCAGGGGTGCTGTGCGCGCTGTTTCCATCCACTGGTGCCATGACCTTCTAGGTCCTCGTCGCTGTGGCCCCAGTGACGAGGAAAGGAGGGAGACGCAGATGTCCGGTGAACGGGCAGCTTCCTGCTTTTGCTCCAAAACCCTAAACACATTCTCCTGGTGCAGCACCCCTGCAGTCCCCCAGCATCCCTCCACAGACAGTGAGCCACCCCCAAACCGGCTGGTGCCAAACTTCCCGTGGGCACTGGAGCATCCCGTGCCTCCAGCTGGAGCCGCCCTGTAGGGGAGTAGACAGTACCCCTTGTCCCATGGCCTTCTAGGTAGCACTGTCCATCCTGGAGAGTAGGAAATTGTGTTGATGAGGGTGGTTTTAAGTACATCAGGTTCTTTGTTTTTCTTTTTTGGGTACAGGGGATCGAACTCATGACCTTGTGCTTGCCAGGCAGCGCTTGTGCTGCTAAGCTATATCCTTGGCCCATATCTGTTTTTTAAAAGAAGGAAACTTTTGAGGTGTAACTGCTACAGGAACCTATGCAGTGTGGGGTGCAGAAGCCAGTGAGCTATGACCTGTAAATGCCTGACACTGTCCCCTGCCCTAGGGACAGACCCCTGCCCAGTTTGCTGCCATAGATGGAGGCTCACTGTTGAGACCCCCCATATCCGTGGAAGCATAGAGTATGTAGTATTTTGGTGGCTTCCTTCTCTGGCCATAGCTGTCTTGAGATTTGCCCATGTGGCTCTGGGTGTCAGCCTTTTTCTCCTGGGTGGCTGTGCATCCCTTGGACGGACTAGTGTCCACTCTCTCCCCCATACGGCACCGTGAGCTGTTGAAGCTGATGAAGGGAAGAGCAGCTGCCCCATCCCTCGGGAGGCCATGCACCCAGTGAAATAGGAGCTCCCTGGGGTCTTGTAGCGAGTGCCCTCTACCAGCACCCTCACGGTGCCTGTGCCTTAGGAGACTGCTTGATAAAGCAGACATCAGTACGCTGCACTAGAGTTAGGCAGAGCGTTGCATTTGTCAGAGTGCAAGAGTGACCCTATCTGCCAGGATGAGGGCCCTTACCAGTAGTGGTCACTCTAAGTTCCTATGATCTGTGTACAAGGTGGGCGTGAATGCTTTGGGGTAAGAAGGGCTGGTCAGGTTACACTGTTCTGCTCCCCAAGAAGTGGAGGACACAGAGAGCAGTCCAGTGGGGGACACGATGTCCATTCTTGTTGGCAGGAGGGGCTCCGCACACTGTGTGTGGCCTACAAGAGGCTCATCCCCGAGGAGTATGAGGGTGTTTGCGGGCTGCTGCAGGCTGCCAAGGTGGCGCTCCAGGACCGGGAGAAGAAACTGGCTGAGGCCTACGAGCAGATAGAGAAGGACCTCATTCTGCTTGGCGCCACAGCCGTGGAGGACCGGTGAGGACCTGTCATGGTGGATGGGGACAGCGAGGGCGGGTTGGAAGGGAGGACACATCCCCGGTCACTGTCACCAGCCAAACTCCTCTGTCAAGCATGCCTGGAAGAACAGCCCTGGTGCATAGTGCCTGGTTTGCTCTGTCCATAGATAAAATCATGAGATAAATGCATGAAATCACACTTCCCAGTGAACAGCAGAAACTGTTTTCATGGCGTGTTACAGATAGCCAAGATGTGCCATTTTTAAAGCATCCCTCAGGGCAGGATCAGGAACTGCTTCTACTCTTGAGTGACTTGCAAGTTCTTCTCAATGCAGGGGTCACTTAGGTCTGAACACCATCCACAAGTCTGTCATTGTTTGTCGTAGGAGTCCTATGGAGTGTTGTGCACATTGGTAATCACAGGGTGGAGTCTGTGGTCTGGTCCTAGTGAAAGTGCTCCTAGCCTCCCATTGCAGAGGACTGAATTGTGTGAGGCTTGGGGGGGGGGGGAGCTGCTGTCCAGGCTGAGTAATGAGAGAAGCTGTGCCTGGTCTACGCTGATGACATGGGGACTCGAGGCAGGCTGAGCATTTGTCCCTGGAAGTGGTATCACCAGTCTCACATCTTGGATCCTAGCCCCGAGTCCTCTCCACAACCCCATTTCTAGGGCCTTGACTGCCACATCCTGGGCTCTCAGTTGAGTGGGGAGTGAGCCCTAGGGGATTTGGTTTGGTTGATGGGCTTTGTTTGTTGGAGTCCTATTCCCCGCTTCAGTCCAGAGTGAGGACCCAGCCACCCACCAGCGCAGTAGAGGCTCAGCAAGCTGTGGCGCCTGGGACCCACAGGACATTTTGAGGAAAGGAGGTTTGGTAGCATGGTGGTGGCTGGATGGCAGCACAGATCTCGAGCATGGTGGGGGAGAAGGGACTGCCTAGTGAGGACCCTCAGAGATGTATGCCAGCCCGGGGGCCAGGTGGATGGGGCCAGTGGTGGTGCACAGTGTGCCAGCGTGGTACAGGCCTGGGACAGTGGGCTACTTCTCTAAGATCCTGGCCTAGTATATTCACAACCTCTCTCCAGAATCAGGGGTGGTTCTTCCTAGCTCTGGATTCTTCAGTGTTCTGCTCCAGACCCTGCAAGGTGGGAATTTCCATTGCATTGTCTGGGTTAGAATTTTAGCCCCTTTCCTCCAGCACCTCACAGGATCCCACCCACCCCAGGAGCTCAGACTCCCAGTCCAGACACAGGCATCAGGGGACAGGGACCCATGACAGGGACAGAGCAGACACCAACTGGAGTGGCCTTACCAGCAGGGCGAGTACGGGGCTTTCTGTCCCAGCCTGGCTACTGCGAGTCTCGCCCAATGGGTTGTCATGGAGATGGCGGCCACACACCTGGGCGCCCACTTCCTGGGCATGTGGTGAGCACAAGGCCAGGACAGCCACGGAGTCCATGTGTTCTGGGGTCCTTTATACAGATGGAGAGGTGCCTGGCATCCCTTCCCAGAGCTCTCGAAGGTTCCAAGACCTGTTTCCTCAGCGCCATCTTGGCTGAGTGGTGTGAGCTGTGTGTCAGAGCTGAGGTTCTGCTGGAGTGGTTGTGGATCCTCACATGGACATGGGTAGAGCAGACGGGCTCTGATCACACGCATGTGTTGGGTGACTCCGGCCAGATAAGCTACAAAACTCGAACAGTTTATACCAGCAGAAAAAAACGGCCCCGTTGCCCCTGCATTATGCCTTTTGTTGGTTACTGTGGTTCTTATAATTGCTAAAAGCCTGTCCCATCTCAAGTCCCAGCTAGACAGAACACAGGTACTGGACACATGGAGGTCACCAGTAGCTGCACTCCTGCTGGGTCTCGCATCTGCATTTATCCTGGGTGCCGTGACACATGTCACTGGCAAGTCTTCACTTCTGTCTTTGGGATCCTGAGCCTCTGTCTAGAATCTGGCTTTCTAACTTTGGGAGACAATTAACTTTCTTTACAGTATTGAGCCTTAAACTTGAACCCAAGATTTTTATGCTGGACCACTTTTTCAGCCCTTTAACTTTTCTTTGAGACAGGGTCTCAGTAGGTTGCCCAGTTGGGCTTGAACTTGCAATACTTCTGCCTCAGCCTCCTGGAGGCTGGGGTTACAGTGGTGTGTAAGCACCCCACGCCCAGCTCTAAACCAATTTTATGGCATCAAGGTCCTGAATTTGGCTTTCAGCTGTGCATACACCAGCTCCGACTTCCACATCTGACCAACTTCCATGTCACAGGCTCCAGGAGAAAGCCGCGGACACCATTGAGGCACTGCAGAAAGCAGGCATCAAAGTCTGGGTCCTCACGGGAGACAAGATGGAGACTGCAGCGGCCACCTGCTATGCCTGCAGGCTCTTCCGCAGGGGCACGCAGCTGCTGGAGCTGACCACCAAGAGGATCGAGGAGCAGAGCCTGCACGATGTGCTCTTCGAGCTCAGCAAGACTGTGCTGCGCTGCAGCGGAAGCCTCACCAGGGACCACTTCTCAGGGTGGGTCACACCTCCCTCCCCAGCCTGGCTCAGCCTCATAGTCCACACGGGGAGCCCGCTGTGTCTCCCTGGCCCGGCACATACGGGAACAAGGCTCAGCCTCCTCTCACAAGGCACAGTGTCTCCTTGAGTATGTGCGCACCCATTTTCACACTGCTGGGTGCAGGGTGCAGAGAGACAAGAGCGTGAGTGTTTTCCCTGCCATCTGGGGAGCCTTTAGGACTTGGGGCTCCGCTGTGGAGGCCTGGAGCCCTGCCAGTGGGTGGAGGTCTTACTCATGCAGACGCAGTTTGCTCCCGGTGTCCTGCGGCTTATGCAGATCATTTTCCCTCTTCCAAGATAAGGGCTTCAGAATCTCGTGAGTGGAGGTGAAGCAGATCTGCTCTTGAATCACTCACGTTTGAAATTATTCCTAAATAGTATGAAGATGTTTATCTTTGCCTGCTCCATAGAACTCCTTTCTGGGGTTAGAGATGTTTCTTTGTCATTTCAAAACCTGGCAAAGTGAAAATTTCAACCGTGATCTTACCAGCTCAGGTCGTACGGGCAGAAAACCCAGGGTGCTGGAGTGGGGCAGGTACTGTGAGTCATTGCAGGGGCCGGGAAGTCCAGGGTAAAGACTAACCCTCACCTGCCAGATACACACCCACCCCTGTCGCCCCAAGAGTGCTGGAGCCCACAAACAAATCCAAGAGCTGTGTGCTCTGGTTCCCTGAGTGTTAAAATATCTTAATGTCAGTTTTTAAAGGTGGACAAAGAAGTGAAGCCAGTGTATAAAGTTGTGGTGCTGAAACAAGGATACTACTTTCTTAGTCCCGTGGGTTATGGCATCAGAAGCCCGGAAATGTACATAGTGTACCTGGATGCAGATTTGGGGACCATGTGACCTGTGTCCTGTTTCAGGCTTTCCACAGACATGCACGACTATGGGCTCATCATCGATGGAGCTGCGCTGTCCTTGATCATGAAGCCCCGTGAAGATGGGAGCTCTGCCAACTACCGAGAGCTCTTCCTGGACATCTGCCGGAACTGCAGCGCTGTACTGTGCTGCCGGATGGCACCCCTGCAGAAGGCCCAGGTCCTTCCACCTTGAGTGGGGTGGCGTGGGAGGACCACCGTGGGTGCTACAGCCTCTGAGTCCTGCCTGGCAGTCCAGGGAGGTAGCACCTTCTGGAAGCAGAGGGGAAATGACAGATTTAAAGCCTGGGCCATCAAGGGTTGAGACTCAGGTGTGACCTCCAGGCCTTGGCTCCCAGCTGCAAAGTGGCAGGTGCCCTGCTTGTCCTCTGCGTGGTAGGTGCACGAGGTTGCTACCTACCCACTGGAGGCCTCATCCAGGGAAGGCAGCTGGAATTGGCAGGTGCGATGTTTCTCATCTGTGGGACTCCAACCTCATGTTCCACCCACACCGTACTCTTGTGTAAAACACACTTGCAGTAGTTTTTTAAAATGCTTTCAAATGTGTTGTGGAAAATAAGCATGAAGACGGGCATCTTTCCAGCATTCATAAGCCTGAAAGACAGCCAAGTCCACAGGAGCATGGTGTAGGTACAGCAGACCAGCTGACTTCAAATCTTGGAGAGAGAAGCTGGCCCAGCCGCAAGACCAAGCACACTTTGCAGGCGATCTTGGCGTATCGCACATGTGCCATGCCACAGGTTGGGGACAGAAACGAGGTGCCAGGCAGCTCTTGGGGTCACACACTTTGTTTGGGGCACAGTGACTTATCCCTGCTCTGCCTTTTGTGTCCCTAAGTGACTCCCAGAACAGAAGCGAAGGGTTTTCTGTACTCTTTAAGCTCTCAGTTGGCCTTTGGAAGGTGAGGTGCATTTATGTTTCCCAGCCCCTTGTGTAGCAAGGAAACAGTCTGCACAGTTTCCCACCCTGAACGTCCTAAATCCATATGCTTGGGCACATAGGGAAAGAAAAACCTCTAAGGAAATGGATTGAAAACCTGGAAGTTATCCTATGAAGTTTCCTAATTTTATTTTACACACATGATAAATTTGGAAATGCATTAGTGTTAGGAATCACTTATTTTGAAACACAGCTGCAGTATACAGGGTGGCGTCTTAGCCCATTCTCGAGGATATGGTGTTCCCTCTGTCCCCAAAGACTGAATCCGTGACTATTCAGGGCCCATGTTTGCCGGCTATCCCAGGTCCATGTAGTCCAACCTGGTAACTTCTCTTTGTTTTGCTTTGCCTTCAGTATGACAAAGATGGTATCTTGTATGGAAGAGCAAATAAGTTTTATAAATTAGCATTGAGCAATCCCTCCTCCCTGTCCTAGACTAACATTAGTCTCTGCTAGTCCTGCCTAGTGAATAACCCAAGTACAAATGGCTCAGAGAAGATAAACTCCATTTTTTTCTCTTCCAGATCGTTAAGTTAATCAAATTTTCCAAAGAGCACCCGATCACACTAGCCATCGGTGATGGCGCAAATGACGTCAGCATGATCCTAGAGGCCCACGTGGGCATTGGTGAGCCAGGGCCATCTCCGCATGGGGCTGACACGTCCAGGACACAGTGTGTCACCTTAGCAGGGCAGGGCCTTGCTGAATGAGGAGTGGCCATCCCGAACCATGTCACCCTGCCTCCTAGGTGTCATTGGGAAGGAGGGCCGGCAGGCCGCCAGGAACAGTGACTATGCAATCCCGAAGTTCAAGCACTTGAAGAAGATGCTGCTTGTGCACGGGCATTTTTATTACATTCGGATATCCGAGTTGGTGCAATACTTCTTTTATAAGGTAGGAGGTGCTGCTCTGTGCCTGTCTCAGTGGGTCATGGTGCAGTGCTCTCAGAGGCATGACCTTGCAGCACAGTATGATGCCACCAGGGATCACTTACCTCCAAGCAAAGTTGCTGTCAGAAGGAAGGGGTCAGTCCAGTTCCTGTGAGAGGCCCTTTAGCAGTTTCCTCACCTTCTAGAGCAATGTGGAAGTGGTTCTAGCACCAACAGGAAGTGGTTGTTGTGGGCGTCCCAGCACCCTCCCTCTCCATGGGCAGCTCTATCCTGCTGGCTGTCACTTCCTCTGCCCTCTTTCTCTCTGTGAGCTCACATTCCTCCCCTGCGCATTGTCTGTGACCACTGTGGCCGGAGCCCTGACCTCTCAGTTGCCATGGAAGCAAGGGTAGACTTTCCAGGCTGTCCTCAGTATCGGGGAGCGTGGGTGTGCTGAGACCCATCCCCTCCCAAGGGAGCATGGTGACAGCAGCTTGCGAAGTGAGAGCGAAGGGTGTGCTCACCCGCTGTGTCTTGTCTTGCAGAATGTCTGCTTCATTTTCCCCCAGTTTTTGTACCAGTTCTTCTGCGGGTTTTCACAACAGGTCAGTGCAACCCGTGAGTGGACACATCCTGTGCCCCGCTGTCCCCCCAGCCCTCCATAGGGACACAGGTGGGCAGGCATTTGGGCACTGGCCCTGCTGACCCCGGCTCTGAGGCCTGTGTGTTCCTGGATGCAGGTCTGTGAATGACAGGGCTGGGCCCTGGCTCCACACCTGCATCCCTGGGGCCCTGCTCTCCCCGGGGATGACTCACAGAAGGGCCAGGTGCACACTGTGAGTGAGGATGAGAAGCGTCCTGGCACCTGTCCCCAGGCAGACACCCACCTTTGGCATGTATTGCCTGCCGCTCAGATGGACACAGTGGGCCAGCTGCTGTCATCTGCAGCAGCAGAACCAGGAGAGCCCACGCTGGGAGGGGCGACTAGAGCTGTGGTCCCCACTCACGCTGGTCCTCCTATGGCAGTGGAGAGCTGGCTCCTGATGCATGTGCATTGCACTGGTGTGTGTGCAGTTCTCTGAGTGTGGAGCCAGGACACCAGGGTCTGTGGCTGTGGTGGTGACATTCTCACGGCTTCTCCTCCACAGACTTTGTACGACACTGCATACCTGACCCTCTACAACATCAGCTTCACCTCCCTCCCGATCCTGCTCTACAGCCTGATGGAGCAGCATGTGGGTGTGGATGTACTCAAGAGGGACCCGTCCCTGTACAGGTGCAGGTTCACACCCGCCGCAGCAGCCTCTCAGGAGCCACAGGGCAGAGCAGTGCCAGGTCCCAGGGAACCCACGTGGAAGCTGGGAATGCTTAGGGCCAGCCGCCTTGCTGGCTTCCTCAGGGATTGATGGGCTACTGTGTCTTCCCAAGCGCACTGCAAGGTCGATAGATGATCTAGGCTACACTTAAAGTGTGCATCATACACCTTGTGTTGCCATGCACTGCTGAGGGTGCGGCCTCAGGAATCTCACCTCCTGAGTTACCTTGAGGAGCCCCAAGTGTTCCGTTCCCATCTGATTCTCAGCTTTCCCATCACTGGGGAAAGAGCTGCTGCCCACATCACAGGGTGAGAGGTTTTTTCATTTCACACCCTCGGAGGGTCCAGTCCATGGTCAGCTGCCCTCAAGCTAGAAAGGGCATGGCAGAGGGGCCTAGCGGGGCATGGCAGCCAGTGGGCAGAGAGAGTGAGAGAGCAACGGGACAGGAGCATGTAGACAGACTCCGGGCACTGCGGGTCCCTGTGGAGCTGTGAGGAAGCCACGGGGGACCCCATGTGCCACAGCCTCTCAGATAACCCAGACTCCTCGAACCCCTCCTGTGTGTGTGCACAATGTGTGTCCTGCATGTTGTCTGCATGTGTGCAGGTCCGGGAGCCCCTGCTGTGTCCCGTGTACTCAATGCCCTCATCTAGTGGCAGCTGGTCCCAGGCTCACAGGCCTGGCTTGTGTCATCAGGCTGTCCCGCTGATCTGGGCTGCATGTCACTGTCCTTCAGACAGATGGGTGTGCCCTGTGCAGCTAGCTGCCCATGTGCTGTGGCAGGAAGTCCCTCAGCAATTGGGAGACCCAGGTGCAGGACAGGGCAGTCTGAGGCTGCATTGCTGTTACTGCCAGAAACTCAGGTGGTACATTGCCCCACACCCAGGACGCCGCCCAGGGGCACGTGTGGCGGGTAGGACAGTTGTGGTCAGTGGGCCTGGTGCTGGCATCAGAGCAAGGTCCCCATCTTTGTCCTGGCACAGGGACATTGCCAAGAACGCGCTGCTCCGCTGGCGAGTGTTCATCTACTGGACGTTCCTGGGGGTGTTCGACGCCCTGGTCTTCTTCTTTGGTGCTTATTTCATGTTTGAAAACACGACCGTGACCAGCAATGGGCAGGTGAGTGCAGGGCACAGTCCCTGCCTGGCTGGGGAGCCCTGAGGCCTGTAGTCCTCGTGTGAGACAGGAACACGCAGAGTCCTTCAGGGAGAGTGTGTGCCAGCTAGGACACACATGTGCTGTGATCGACAGGACATGTCACAGCCATGCAAGGCCAGGTGTGCACCATGCTCTGCAGACCTCAGCCCCAAGGGGAGGTCCCTCGGGGTCTTCCGGGCTGTCCTGTAGGTGTCTGTCCATGAGCTGACTGTCTAGTGGTTTAGTTATCTCTCAGGGCGTTGCTCTCTGCCTGGGGTTGGGGCATAGGTAGCGAGGTGCAGGGTCTCCCGTGGGTGCACAGGCAGCTTCCTCGGCCCCTAGCAGCAGTTGTGGTGGGCGTGCCGCTGCGGTCGTCTGCTTCCCTTTTGGGGTTTGTTTTATTTGTATCTCGCTTTTTTCTTTTTGCCACTCGCTTCCCTTCCCACCCTCAGATAATGACCACCAACTCACACATGGTAAGACAATTCTGAGTGTGTCCTCTCTCTGTGTTTTTGGAGTGCATTAGAAATAAAATATTTCTCGAAAATATTTTCCCACGTGACCTCCTCCTCCGTGTGCTTCGTGGTGGAGGCGCTGTCAGCTGCTCCTGCCCACTGCAGGCAGTCGAGCTGCGTGTATGATTCTCACGTCTTGTGGTGTCCCCTCCTTGGGCCAGGGCCACGGGGAGCCAAGGCCACTTATATTGACCTGTGATGGTGGCGGTGTGAGCAGCAACACCAGGCCTGTGGGGACATGGTGTGGTGGCACCTGGGCTGCCCCCAGAGTGCTGAATGGAGCGTTGTCCCTGCTGCTGAGTTGCTGCCCAAGGTGACCCCACTGGTGCCCTCGGGTACTCCTAAGCCACCCATCTTCCAGGCAGCCTGGGACCAACGCTTCCGTCCCTGTGTGACCCCCACCTCTCTCCTCCCCATGTTGTCTTACCCTGCTTGTCCCTGTGGGATCAAGGACAGAAGTCTTGCTGTGTGTCCTGTGGTGTGGACTGTACCTGTGCCAGCTTTCTCCTCGTGAGAAGGTGCTGTTATTTTCATTGTAACAAATCAGTTCTTACTAAGTTGGTCCTGGGAGTGGATTGAATGTTTCCTGGTCCTGGACACGAGTTCTTGTAGAATCTGCTGCTCCTTGTGGCTTCGCCTGGATGGTACTTGGCGCTTAGGCCACGGTACAGTGAAGCGGCCCTGTCCTCGCTCATGCAAGCCTTGCCCATGGTCCTGGGAGTCAGCCTGCTGCAGATAGCTTCGCACCTCTCAGACACGCAGGCCATGCGCACCCAGAGCCCCAGCTGCCGTCCAGTACCTCCTTGCAAGCTCTCAGTCATGAAGTCCTCTGTGTGCAGTCCCTCCCTGGACAATGTTGGTCATGGTCAAGGAAGGATTGAACCTGCACAGGCCTCTTACTTTGGGCCACCTGCTGCCTGACCCACACCGCTGGTGCCACCTTGGTTCAGCACTGGAGGGGACAGGGACAGCTGCTCCCAGGGATACCCTGAAGACTGGCCACCAAGGAAGGCTGAGGACAGGCTCTGCTCTAGAAGGTGACTGGCACTGTGACTCTAAAGACATCACAGTGACCCCTCCATGGTATCCCTTCCATCTCCCCAACCCCAGGGGTTCTTGTGTGGCTGACCCATGTCCCCTCCATAGGCTAGCAGATGCATAGTGTGCCGGCGTCCCATTAGTCTCATCTGCTGCTCGTGACTGTGTCCTCAAAGGCTCCTTGAGTCCCATGAAGCTGCATCCACCTGAGGAGGATGCTTCCCATGGCTCTGTGTCCCCACGCGTCACCACACACCTGTTACCAGCCATTCTTGGACACTCCTGTGTTAGCCAAAATGAGGACAGGAAGAGTCTAAGCCAGAGCGCCCAGGGTCAGGCAGTCTGGTTCAACAGCCTGCAGCCCGGCCACTGAGGGACTCACATGAGCCTGCGTGAGCATGGGAGACTGTTGGGCTCTGGCCACCAGCACCAACCACCAGCATGTGTGCAGGCTTGGGACTCCTGAGACCATTTCATGTATGTGTGGGGTGTGGGTGGCCAGGTACACCAGGGTCTCAAGATGGTCTTGAGTGGGCTCCAGAAGCTCTGCTGGGTCTGCAGAGCTCGTAGCTTGCAGTGCTGCTGCATAGTGGCCTCCTGGGCCCTGCAGTCGCAGCTGGGCCACCTTGATGATCTGCTCGGTAGAGGGGCTCCAGGCCTCCTACCACGTGACAGTTGAGCCTGTGGCACCAGTGTGGGTAGGGAGGGACCCGAGACTGGCTCCTCTTGCAGGAGTGCAGTGGGACCATGGTCAGCTTCTTAAGGGAGGGTTTGGGATGGGGCAGTTTCTGCAGATACCAAATGGCTCTTTCTCCTGTGACGATGTGAATGAGAGCCCTCAGCCACACTGCTGTGACTGCTGAGTAGCAGGGTTTCCTGGATGAGCCACAGCTGGAGTCAGGAAACATGTAGGGCACATCTAGGCAGTCAGTGGGCAGCAGCCAGTCATCAGTAATCAGTGGTCAGCAGTCAATGGGCAGCAGTGGGCAAGGAGTACAGAGGTGTGATGTGGCCTTGATGCATTGTGTTTGCTGTCCATTTTGCACACAGAGTACACTGTGCAAGGTTTATGAGCAGAAAATTCTTGGCCATAACATGTGTGGGGGAGGAAGCAGCTGAGGTTGTGGGTGGGTGACACTGCCCCATGGCCTTCAAGGCCCCAAGATCATCAGGGGCTGGTGGTCAGTTGATGAGGGTGAGAGGGTATTGTCCAGGCATGAGTCAGTCAGACCTGCAGTGGGGGTGCTGTCATGCCAGAACAGTCCTGAGGAACCAGCGACAGGTGTGTCACTGGGGTGGAGAAAATGGGCCCCTACACTCTAAGGGGGTAGAGGCTGGAGTCTCAGGGACTCACCCACCACCTGTTCAGCGTCCTGGTGGCATCATTGTGATAGTGAAGTGACTGCTGGCTGCGGATCAAGGGTACCTCCATAAATGAGCAAGAATACAGGCTGCCATACTGCCCGTCCCATGAGGGGCACTCATGGGGTACAGACAGGGCCAAGGATGGCCAGTCCTCAGCTCCCAGGGTTCCCAGCTCGACACAGGAAGCTGCACCTTGTCTGCCTGTGGAATGAGTACCAGGGCTCACATACTTCCTGAGCTGGGTCCAGGACACTGCACTGTGCCCCCACAACCTATTGTCTTCAGGAGTTTCTACAGGTCACCGCCAGGCTGCGCAGTTAGGAATCCTCCCTGCCAGCGGAGTGAGTCCAAGACCAGGTGGAGCCAAAGATGGAGATGTTGGTGGGCACTGAACCCTGTGCTACCGCCCAGAAAAAGTGGAGTTTGGAGGAGACGGCACTTTTGACAAGCAGCTTCTGAGCTTCCCACCTGCAGCACCCTGGACCTTGGGCCCCGATGGCTCCTCCCCAGGGCTGTCCTGCGGGTCTAGCTCAGCTGCCGCCTCCTGCCTCAGAATAACAGCTGTCTGTGCAGACAGAAGTATGCAGTGCACAGAACTGAATGCCACGTGGCCCAGCTTTCCCCGGCAGAAGGAAGAAGTGGCTCTGAGCTTGAGGGTGAAGCCCGGAAGGGAGGGGTCAGCACTGCGACTCAGCCAAGAGGTCAGCACTGGCTGTCAGAGTTGCGTCCAAGGAGAGGACATCCTCGCCCCGCCATACACTATACATCACAGGACTGAGTGCCACGTGCCCACTGCCAGCCATGCGCTGCGCTGTGGTGCAAGGCATGTGTGTGTGGAGAGGGACCCCAGGGAAAGCCGGCAGCACTGCAGCCTTTTTGTTATCTGTCAGGTAAAGCTGGGGATTCACTCTGGAGAGCTGCAGGGAGCCATCTCTTGGAAGCTGTCCAGACCCTGCAGCCTGCAGGCACATCCCCTGAGACACTGAGTGCAGGGGCTCCCGAAAAGTGTCCCCCAGGCTTTGGCTCTGTCTGCCTCTTGGTCCCCTCCTGAGGTCTGACTGTTACATCTTTGGCTCTGGCCGAGGAGGCGCAGCCCTTATTGTCTTGTCTCGCCTGCCCCCTGCATTTCCTTCCTCACGATGTCCCCTTCTGTGTCCTGACGTCTGTCTGGCCATGGGCTGTCCAGTGTAGCAGAGGGCATCTGGGTCAATGAGCAGTGCTTTTCTGGGCCCAGTGGCATGGTGCCTTTTCTGCGCGTGGCCGAGCAGTGAGGACCTGCACTGAGTTTCCCAGGGCCCGACCCCACCTCCAAGCGCTCTGGGTCTGGCCCCGTGAGCAGTGCAGGCCAGGCCTCCGGGCTGCAGTCCACACTGGGGCGGGAGGTTTGCTGCAGGCTCAAGCTGATGTGACAGGAGCTGTGTGTGGACAGGAGGTCACTCAGGCTCTCACCCCACAGATGTTTGGGAACTGGACCTTCGGGACACTGGTGTTTACTGTGATGGTATTCACGGTCACACTGAAGGTGAGTGGCGGCCGCAGTCCTCCTGCTCTGGGGCACGGGGATCTGAGCTTTCTGGACCACTGTCCTGGGGGCCTCCCGAGGAGGGCAGGGTCCTGACAGAGCTGGGCCATGCAGGGGGTGGGGATGGGGTAGCAAGGGATTCTGATTAGGACTCTTGTAAAGGGCAAGCAGCCCCAGGCCATGGAGAATCAGAGCAGTCTACACAACTGAATGCATGGGAGACTGATCTCAGATAACCAGGTGGATCCTGCATAGAACAGCAGTGTCATGGAAGTCCCCAGCCCATTGGATGGGGCCTTCGAGGGGCATAAGGCCAGCTTTCTCAGCTGGCCTGCAAAAATTTGTTGGCGGCCTCCCCAGGACCTTGGGTCCTGCTTCCTGCTCCGAGGGCTGTGGTGCCACGATCCTTCCCTGCTGGGAGCCCAGGCTTGGGTGGCTCTTCAGGGGCATCCTGTGCAGCCATGCTGTCTCTGCTAGGTTCTCTTTGGGCCCTGTTCTACTGTGGTGCCTGGCTGCCACTCCCCCCTCTCCCCACAGCTCGCTCTGGACACACACTACTGGACGTGGATAAACCACTTCGTCATTTGGGGGTCGCTGCTCTTCTACGTTGTCTTCTCCCTACTCTGGGGAGGAATCATCTGGTGAGGCTGTGGCAGCCATGACCTGGTCCCCATCTTCTGCCCTGGGTCTGGCAGGTCCCATGTGTGCCCCCGTGTCATGCCTGAGTGTCCCTGACTGGCTCTCTGCTGCGGCACTGTGCCTGAGACAGGGTGCACAGAGAAGTTAAGTGACCAGCTCTGGTCTCTGGCGGCCACTTGTCCATGGGCACCAGCACTGCTCTGTGTCTGTAGCGGGCCCAGCTGGCAGGACAGAGTGAGCCTCCAGGTCTGGTTCCCCCTCTCAGGAGCCGCCCAGGCCAAGGTCAGCATAGAATGAGTCCCCCAGCTTCCAGGGCTTTCATGCCCTGTATCCTGGGCACCTGCTTCAGTGCACAGAGCTCTGCCTTCGCTTCAGTTTTGTCTCAGTCTCCACCCTCCTCACTGGGATACAACACCGACACCCGCAGTTAAGGAAGGAGGGGTCAAATGGTGGCTCATGTTTTAGGCCCCAGTAGGCTGGCTTCAAGCAGGAGGGAAGGACAAAGGGTCAGGAAGCAGAGAAGAGAGGAGCTGGAAGGGAGCTAGACCCTTGGGTCACGCCCCAGGCCCCATCTCTTCCACCAGGCCCCATCATAGCAAGTCAGCTATGAGCCCAAGAGCCAATCTCCGCCCACAAGCCCACCTGTGAGTGCAGGTGGCCCTCCTGGGACCTATTGATCTAAACCAGAACACATTTGCAGCAGTGGCTACCACCCGCTCCCCTCCTGCCACTTCTGCTGCTTCAAACTGAGCTCCAGACTCCTGCTTCTCCTGGGGCCAACATCACAGATGCCCTTCTCCCCACCCCACATGGCAGCCAGAGCACCAGTCCCATTCCCCACGGTGACTGCAAGCTCTGATGCTGGCTCCCCGCACGCAGGCCGTTCCTCAGCTACCAGCGGATGTACTATGTGTTCATCCACATGCTGTCCTGTGGGCCCGCCTGGCTCGGCATCCTCTTGCTCATCACCGTCAGCCTCCTGCCCGACATCCTCAAGAAGGTCCTGTGCAGGCAGCTGTGGCCCACGGCGACAGAGAGAACCCAGGTAAGGAGCTGGCCAAGGGCCCAATGCTGGCTGTGGACATGGGGTTGGGCAGGGGAGCTGAGGAGGAGCCTCTCTGTGGTATGGGACTGTAAACACTGAATTAAGGCAAACCTTGTCAAGAGGATGGGTGTGAAATCTGACCCTTAGAATGACAGCTAAGTTAGGAAAAAGATAGGAACAGAGATTAACACAGAAGATAAATTACTCTGTCAATCCTTGAAACATTTGAATTAACCCTTACTTTTAGAGTTAAATTGGCTTCTTTTGAAGGACCAAGTGACCCAGAGCACTAGCACATGAGAGAAGCTGAGTGGTGCTGGGGCTACCCAGGGGCAGGAGCAGGGGTGGGACCTGATGAGGAGGCGTGACGTTATCCAGGCCTCCTTCCTCTAGTCTCCTCAGGAACACAAGTATAATCCCTGCTCTCAGGAAGCTGAGGCAGGAGGATACCAGTGCCAGGTTGGTGAGGTCTACATGACAATGATTGACCTCAAAAGCCAAAACAAACTGCTCTCTAGTTTCCCTTCAGGGAGATTCGAACCTTGGCAAGGCAGGCCCTAGGCAGAGACAGGAGAGCAGAAACCCCGATAGCTTCTGCCAGTGCAGGGGACCTGGGGTGAGGGAACCGCTCCCCAGGGTGCCAGCAGGTTGAGCTGGACACAGAAGGGCCTTGGGATTGACCAGGCTTCTTACCGGAGCCTGGTGTGTGAGCTCGCTGGGGCCTGTGTGGTCTCACGTGCCAGCCACGGCCACTGGCTCTGGCCTCCCAATTGAAGGTCCTGTGGCAGACTCCGGACCAGAACCTTCTCTGGCCCCCGAGTAGGGGCTATGCCCTGCAGAGTTCCTCAGGCATGTAGCAGGCAGGTGTTCCCAGTGTGCCCCACGCTCAGGGACTCACAGCCGGAAGGTAGCCAGGGGACCCAGGTTCTGACAGCAGCCTTGCCCTAGAGCCTCCCTGCACGGTACCCTCCTTGGGGGATGGTCCTACTGCTGCTGGAAACTTCTGTGGCTCACAGAAGGTGGCTTCTGTACTTGCCAGCCTGCCTGTAGCCAGGAGGCAGAGAGCAGAGGAAGAGACCATGGGCACACGGACAGGAGAGGTAGAGGCCAGGCGGGGAGAAGCCGGCCAGTCTCAGCTCCATGGTGTCTGTCCACCCGTCCCAGTGGCGGCCTGTGTGTGTGTGCTGGGATGTGTCTGCGTAACCAACTCACCTCTCTTGTCTCTCTCCCTCCCTGTCGTCCTGTCTTCTGCCTGCTTTGCCTAAATAACCACTACTTGTGTCCATGCTCCTCGCGTGGCTCCGGACGTGGGACTGGCAGGCTAGGAACCAGTGCCTTTCCGTTGAGCAGCCTACCGTCTTTATGCTTTCCCAGACCTCCAGCGGTCTGAGTTTCTGACCACAGGTGACCTTCTCCGCCTTCTCGCGCGTGTGGGAGGATGGCACGGGTGTACACAGGATGGTGGCCACTCATGGGCTTCAGTCAGTGCCTTCTGCCACCAGCCACGTCAGAAACTTGGTGACAACATGCAGCTCGGTAGGGGCAGCTGACCCAGCCTTCTTTAATGATAACCCGTCTGTGTATCTTCTGAGTAACAAGATAGTGCGCTTTTCAAAGCCAATCATTAACAGCAACCCAAACTTCGAAGTTTGGCTGCATCAGAGCTGGCGGGAATACAGCCCAAGGTTCCAACTCTCTGTCTGCACCGAGAGCAGCTGGGAGGAAGTTGCCAGGGTGACAGGGACACAGTGACCACAGGCTGCTCCTGGCACCAATCAGAAGACAGCGGCTTAGGTTAAAGCAGTGTCCCAGCCCTTGGTGCGGCTTCTGGGAGCCGGGTGGCTGCCAAGCCTGTGAAGGAGCTGGGCTCTCCAGGCTCTGTGAGGGGTCACTTTGAGCTGCCCCCTCAGCCCCCAGTGTGACCACAGGTGTCCACACTGCTGCAGAGCCCCTGCCACTGCACGCGCCCATCACGCACAGGTGAACGCTCTGCCTTGCCAAACTTTGGAGGAATAAATGTTTTGGGGCCACAGTGGGGCAGATCCGGCCTCAAAGCGATGCAGGTCCTTTCTGCCTGCTCCATCTGAAGGAGAAAGTCCCAGATATCAGGCATGTATGCATCATCGACCTGGCTTCTGTGTGACGCATACATGGGCACACACTCTGTCTCTGCCTGCTACTGACATGCTGTCCTTGTCCCCACTGATGGGTACAGCTCCATCTCTGGCTCCCATTCCTCTGATTTGGACTCACTGGTCTCCTGCTGTTCCTCAACCCTCAGCCTCTGACTGCCGTTGCCAAGAGCCCAGTGAGCCTGGAAACCCTGTGCAGTCCGCCAGGCATGGGGTGGCCCTGTGGAGAACATTGGGCACACGGGAGCGTGTGTGAGCGAGGTGGGCCACACGGCTGTGGTCAGCTGCTGCAAGACCAGAGCCCTTTAGGACTTCTAGCTGAAGGACGTGATCTGCACCCTTCACAGTCCGTCACCGGCTGACCCAGTCAGCTTGGCTCAGGCTTCCTGTGCCCGCGCATCTCAGTGTCTCCCTCGCCCTTGCAGAGGCACGCACAGCGCAAAGCACTGGCCGACACCACGCCGAGCCGCGACGGGCCCCTGCTGAAGGACCTCTTGCCCCAGCCGAGGCGCCCCTAAGGCTGCGCTAGGTAACGTGCGGCCGCTGCCCGAGGCGTGGCCAGTGTGCTGTGACTCTTTTGCGCTCTCTTTTTCCTCCAAAGTTTTGCTGTGCTGTGCCAGTTTTGGTAACAGAGGTTCACTGTGCAAAAAGAGCACTCTTGCAGCACACATGTGCATTTGCTTCCCAGGTAAGTGGCTGCCTGTGAGGGAGCTAACAGGAAGGACGCACACAGAAGCTCCCAACCCTCCACCTCACAGCAAATCAGACAGGCCCCGTTCTGAAACCCAGTAGAGTGCTGTGTGTACCCCAGATGCAAGTCCAGGCAGGGTGCAGCTGGACCTGCATTGTCCATGGTCAGCACCAGCCATGCGGCTGCCCTGTGTGTACCAACTAGGGCCGCCCTAGCGTCGCTGTCCCTGTTCATCCCAGGACTTGGGTGCCAGGGCTGAGGGCTTGTGCCCAAATGTGAAGACCCTGCCTCTGTGGCCAGCTTGGGGAGGACCTGGTCCTTGGTAGCCAGGGAACAGGGATTCTGCAGGGGTGATACGGGCAGTAAGCCTTGTGTGCTCCTGAGGACCCCCCACCCTGACTATGTCTCTCATTTCCCGGCAGAACACACACTGTCCAGACAGCAGTCCAGAGCTCGCCCCCGCTGCCTCTCTGCAGAGCCCAGGTGCTCTGGGCCCCAGGCCCACAGCCGCACTACGTGATGCCCCAACCAGGAAGGTGCCGTGCGTGCTCTGGAGGAGTGAGGAGTACGCTGTGCTCCTGCCAACCCGGGCCTCACCTGTCACTGTCACAGTCCCTGCATTCTGTCGGGACGCGCCCACGTAATAGGGTACCCGGGGCAGACCTGGGGTGTGTATGTGTCTGCCTGCCTTGTCTGTGGGGAGGCAAGGATGGGTCACTCTGCTATGATCCCTGCTGGCCTCTCCTGGGCTCTGGTGTGGGACCTTCAGCCTGGTCCGCCCACTATCCTCCACATCTGCTGTGACTGCACAGAAAAGCCTATTCCTGGCCACAGGACCAGTGACCTGCCCAGGGACCATCCCACCCATGGTCCACCTCGATGACCACTGTGCCCTGCTCACAGTGCCCTGCTGCACCACCTCCTGCAGAGCTGCCACACTGCAATCTGGGCAGCCAGCACCTTGGATCCTCGATACATCTGTCCCTGGTCTACAGCCTTACTCTGCCATGCACACGGTCCCTTTTAGGGATCCTTTGGCCTGCTGAGCAGAGGCTGTCCTTGCATGCTGGGGCCTTAGAGGGCTGGAGTCCCCTCTCACATCACCTGCTGCCCTGTGGAGAGAAACTGTGTCCACGGCAGGCAGGCCTCAGCAGGATCCTTGTGATGTGCAGGACAGATGTCAGCTCATCTGCCTGGGGAGTGTTCGTTCCTCAGGCGCTGGGGCCTGTGAGGCACTCAGGCAGATCTTTGGCAGTAGTGAGATGGGCTCTGTCCCCACTGAGAGGTGGTCAGCCCCTCAGAGCCTGTCTCAGGCTGATGTGGGCCCCAGTGCCACACACAGTCCACTGCTCAGCCACCTCGCCGTGTAAGCCCCCTGCAGGTGTTCATGGGTCTGTCCTGGCATAGGTTTGGCCAGGTCTTCTCTGAGGTGGACAAGCCATTAGAAGCTGCTGCACTGTGACTGTCACCCCAGTCTGTATTCCCAGAAGGATCTGCATGGTGTAGCCTTAGAGATCACAGCACAGGGAAGATGTTTCACTTCCAGGTTCCAAGCCTCTGCCAGCAACCGGAGAAGCCAGCGCTGCACTGCCATGACCGGCCAGGCGGCCTGGTGTGCTCCCAGGATGGCATCTAGAGCAGATAGCTGGAGATGCAGTTCCCGAGTCCGGCTGTATCCCTCCTGACCTGCAGTCATGATGCGGACCCAGGATGGATTAGCAGCGAGCATGGGGTGGGGCAAGGGGGGAGTGTGAGCATAGAACCAAAGACGGGGTCTTGTCTGACGGGGTCATGTCTGGCTGAGAAGAGGCAGCAGAGAACGCTGCTCGTGCAGGCCGCATCTGCATTGCCACCCGTCCCTCGTGCCGCCCACCTGGCTGCCGGCCCACAGTGCTCCCCACCCCCACACAGACCTTTCCTCCGTCGGGCTGCGCTGACCTGCAGACAGCAGTGCGTTTTTACAGCCCTTTTTAAGAACCCAAAGTGGGTACAAATGTAAAACCTGAAGGGGGACAGATCCTCTGTATGTTTAGTTAACAAATTCTTTGTAATGTATTTTTTTAGAAATCTTAAAATTGCCTTTGCACTGAAGTATTTTCATAGCTGTTTATATCTCTTTTATCCATTTATTTGCTAACATATCATCTAATTTATAAAGTATGTTTTTAAAGCTTTCATTTTTTGAGTTTATGAAATTCTGGCCACTTTGCATTTAAATTCCAGGAGAATTTGGCCGCGGCTGAGGAATGTTAGGTTTCAGGTCCCGTTGTCTTCTCCACACCTCCTTATCCCGGTGGCAGTGAGGGCGCAGTGGAAGCAGTGCTTTGCTCTGCTCCTCGGCAGTGTCGTCTGCTCTTCGTTCTTGCTTTCATGCCCACCCTCAGCCTTCACGCTCACTCAGGCACCTGGTGGGGTCGGTCCCCACACCTCTGTGATGCCAGCCTTCGTATGAAGGCACCAGGTGTGCTCCACTCCACAGCGCCAGCTCAGAAGCTGCCCGGAACTTGTTAAACATGTGTGCCTGGCCCTCAGAATGGACGAAGGGAACGGGGTAAACAGCAGGAGAAAACCCAGAGGCCCTTTCAGACGAGGTGAGCATGCCCCTCTGTGGGGGCAGTGACTGTCTGCTAGCCTTAGACTAACTTCAGAGCAGATGGGTCCGCCGGAAGCCTCGTCCCAGGCTGGGAACCTCATCTGTGGCTGCAGTGTGCAAAGCTGGCCAGCTGTGGCTCCTCATGGTTTCTGATGATACATGGCTCCTGTTTTTCACTGTCCCTCACTCACACCAGTGTCCTGGCCGTGTGTGTCCCCGCTCCCTGCTCACTGGTAGCCGCTATGTGCAAGCTTGCATGCACTAGTGCACACGTCCCACAAACACACGTGCCCTCCCACACTCCATACACCCTGCCTCCTTCCCCAGCCCCTACGTGAAGCTCTGGGCAGGCTGGGCTGATAAGGCCTCTGCGCACACACGCACACTTGCACCCACATCCTTTGAAGGAGATGTGGCCGCACTTGCACAAGGGCTTTGAAAGATACAGCAGAACCTTGACCAGGCACCCCTGTCCCAGGAATTCAGCACCCCAGGCAGACCTGCCTTCTTCCCAGGCCTCTGCCAAGCCACATAACAGCCAGGAAATGGGCAGAGCCCTGCCACCGGGCACTGCACAGTCTACAGAGCCACCCCCTCACGGCCTGAGCCAGGCGGAACAGGGCCGGCGGCAGGAGACAGGCCGTGTGTGACAGATTCCAGCAGCCCCTGGGGTCACCCCTTGTCCTGCGTGGTCACCAGCCTGGCCCTTGGAATGCCAGGCTCATGTGGCCACATTGACTGGTATCGAACTCACACAACCACTTTTATTTCACCATAATATTATTTATTGATAGCACAGTGTAACAGTTGGTCCTCGCATTCTATACTTCCTTTGGAAGTTACTATAATTTTAAAAACCAGAAACAATACCAGTTGGCGAATGCAATCTTTTTATTTATTTTTTTAGCTAGGGGGTAGGTGAACAGGAATGAAAACCATTGATAGAGTGTCTATAAACAAAGCTTTACTAAAGATGTGTTGGAAGCGTTATGAAAGTCTTACTCTACTTTTGCAGAAAAAAATCTAAAGATCAATTTATATAGCTTTATTTTTTATCTTATCAGGATATACAGAATTTTAATATGCATATATCATCTCTGACTTAAAATTATGATGTGTGTCTGCATTACCATCTAAAATGTCCATTCATTATGTAATGTACTCAAGAGAGACTTTGAAAATGTATTTCACAGATTGGTCACCACCATAAACACTGGAGTTTATTTTTAAATTATTAAGTAGAGTAGGTGCATTTAACATAAATCATTCTCCAACAGTGATGATTCATTAACCTGCTTTAAGACATTAAATTGTGAATTAAACCAAATGAAACATTTCTGTAAAGTTTATTTTGTATGCTGTTTTTACTTTTATTTATGTAGATGGGGGACAGGTGGGTAACCTTGGCAATACCGAACTTTTCTGTAAATGGAGTAGAACGCCATCTGTCTTTATTGTCTGCTTACAATAAAGACAAAACCCAGCTGCGCTCCTTTGTAAATGTGGAGGTCACCTAAGTTTCGCTTGTATCTGCTGCCTGTGAGTCTGGGGTGGGGTAGGAGAGGATTTTGGGGGGTTGAGCCCTGAGCTCACTGGCTATGGGAGCAGCCCCAGCACCCCAGTCCTGGCAGACTCCGAACCTGCACCAGGAGCCCCAAGATTGGTGGAGACGCTGTCCAGTCCTGAGTCACCGCCTTCTTGGCCCCTGCCATGGTCATGTGGATGAGATGTCCCAATGCCTGCTCCTGCGGCATCTTCCTACCCAGTGGAGCAGATCCTGGAGCAGCCAGCTCGGCCTCTGGCTCCAGTGTGGCCTTGGACAGTGAGGCTCTCTGGCCAGAGCCTACAGGTAGCACCTGCTGTCCTCCAGCGTGGAGTCAATACTCAAGTCCTGTGTCTTCCTGGAGCTGTTCCACCTTGACCATGTGCCCCATCAGGCCATCCCCCCCATCCAATGACCACTGCTTTGTGTATCTCGGGCCAGGGTCCGGAACCCCAGCCCTGGGCCGCAGGTCTTCAGCCTGTTGAGAATGGGCCGCACGGCAGGAGGCAAGCAGGGCCAGCATCGGTCCCCTGGAACCAGGAGCCACAGCGCACACCAGGGAGCAAGGCTGTGGCGCCTTGGAAGAGTCTTAACACTTGACTGTCCCCATCTTCACCCTAAAGAAACGTTCCCCCCCCCCCAAAAAACCAGTCTGTCTGTTACCTTGCTCATTGCTGAGACAAAACACTTGACACCCAGGTTCATGATGGAAAGGGCTGGCTCCAAGGCAGGGTGGCATGGGCAGAGAACTGCTCATGGCAGCATAAGACAGCAAAAACAGCAAGGGTGTCAGTGTCTCTTGCACTTTTTACACTGTCCAGGCTGCTGGGATTAGGGCAGTGCCAAACCGACCAGGGGACTCATGCAGTCATCACACACCCTGAATCCCAGTACCACTCAAGATCTAGCTGCCTCTCAAGGAGCCCCACTCATGACTGCATGAAGCTTTGAGGGATATCTGGACACAGCTGGCATGGGGGACAGGAGAATGGGCTTATAGGAGACAGAGAAAGTGAGGGAGCTCAGCCCTGAGGCCAGATGCCATCCTTCTTCCCAGCAGGCAGATTAGACACAGCTCCAGACTGGCCTACTGTGTGGGCTCGTCCTGCCAAGACCAAGATCCTTTGTAACTCAAAACTACAGATGAAAGCCAGGCAAGGAGGTGCACATCTGTAATTTCTGCACAATGGGAGGCTGAGACAGGATTGCGATTTCAAACCCAGCCTTGGGCAATTGAGTGACTTAATGAAATCCTGTCTCAGAATAAAAAGGTCAGGGTCTGGGAATGCAGCTCTGCCCAAAGGCCCGGGTTCAACCCAGTGCTGCAAGAAAGAAACACCACAGGCACTGGTTTTGGGGAGCATTTGTATCACTCTTGGCTGATGGTTGAGCTGGACCTGCTTCAGGGCAGCGGCATGTGGGCTGCACAGAGCAGCACCATGTCTCGGGTGCCAGCGTGGGTCAGGGGACACAGACAGACCAGGTCCAGCCAGGGTCCCACCTCTTCCGCCCAGCTCTGCAACCTGCCCAGCCTCTGCTTATTTCCCAGGTCACAACCACAGAGCCACCTGATTGCCCTTGCACAGGAGTGCTGGGGCCCGGGGGCTCTCACGCCCACTCCTGGCCCAGGGCATTCAGAGGCCACCGAGCTTGGCAAGGCAGGGACCAGGCAAGGTGGGAGCTGCAGGGCCCCTTCGCCCCCACTGGCCTTTAGAACTGTCGACTCCAGGGGCACAGCCCTGAAGGATCCCATGCACTGCTGGGTGGTGATGGCAGGGCTTCTCCCTAGGGGGAAGTGCCGCTAGGTGTGTCAGAGGCCAGGTCTTCTCTGAGTACCTCCAGGGCTCCTTGGAGCCCACATGCATGCCACCCTCCAGGCGGGCCTTCAGGCTTTGTGGCCAGCATCAGGGCCCATAGATGACCCTCACAGAGGCCTTCACTCCCTTCTCCCATCCCCAGGAGTGTCCAAGCCTGTGTCACAAGAGGACCATTGACCATGCAGGGGACAGTCCTGCCTGGTGAACGTAGCATGGGCTCCTCAGGGTTCCCTTCCTGGGCTCACCTCTGCCCTCTACCCTCCTGCAGTGGTGAGGGCACCCAGCGTGCTGTGCTGTGCTGTGCTGTGCTGTGCTGTGCTGTGCTGTGCAGGGAGAGCACCCAGGAGTCACCCAGAGCCACCTCGGGGAATCCGCCTGGCTGTGATATGCCCGACAGCCTCCCCTCCTAGGCAACTCCGGGTGCCATGTTGGCCCTTGATGCACACACACACCCCCCCCCCCCCACCGCTCTGCACAGCACTGCTCTGCTCGGTTTGGCCACAACTCTGCCATGTCTGTAGACCATCTAGCTCTCTGAGGATCAGGGACGCCCTTGCTTGGGGAATGCCACCCATGTTTGTGCCCATCACATGGTCAGCTTTGCAGGGAAGCCATCCACACTGCCCCTGAGTACAGTGTCTGAATCCCTTGAAGTCTCTCTGCAGGCACTTTCCTCAGCACTGGATGCACTCGAGGGATACTGATGGGAAGGCAGGTCCTGTCCAGGCAGCCCAGGAGGGTGAGGGGGCAAACCCTGAGTGTGGAGATTTCCCACACCCTCTCCCATGGGGTCCCTCACTCCCCACCTGTGAGGCAGAGATCTGCAGCAGCATGAAGCCCTGACTTCCTCGGGGCTGCTTGAAGGAGCCTGTTGGTCTTTCTCATTGCTGAGACAAAATACCTGACACTTGAAGGAGGATAAGTTTATTTCAGCTCACAGTTTGTAGAGGTTTCAGTCCATAGTCAGCTGGCTTCAAGGCAGGACAGCATGGCAGAGGAGCATCTCGAGCCTGAAACAGTCCATGGCAAGCAGGCAGGTAAGAGCACACTGACCCTCTTCTGGTGTCTTATATTTTATGCAGGCTGCCACCCTGGAGTGAGTGTAGCACTCAGACCTTAATCTTGCATAACTATGCCAACCCAACTAGTGATTTAGTAACCCCTTTGATCCCAGCACCACACACTAGATTGAGCCACCTCTGCAAAGTCCCCTGTGACCAGATGAGGTTTGGGGAGACATCTAGACATAGCCATGACACTGTTCCTCCTCCGCCTCCTGTCTCCTCTGAGTTCTCCACTGAGTAGTGAGCAGTAGGACATCTGTTGCCCAAACGCACCAGCCTCTGTCCTTGAAGACCCAGGCCCTGGGTGATATGGCACACACCTGTACCCCAGCACTTTGAGAGACTGAGCCAGGAGGATCCCAAGTTCAAAACAGCCCATATCACTTAGTGACTTAGCAAGACCCTGTCTCAAAAATAAAAAATGAGGCGGGACCAAGATAGTAGAGTGGTAAACAAAAGAGAGAGCCTATCAGACAGTCACTTAACAGATGCTGGAATATATAGCATCATGAGGAAAACAAGCAGTGGGGAAGAGGGATGCCTGGACTCAGGAGGAGTCTCGACCCAAGAGGAGTCTGAAGAGCTGAAGCCCACAGAGAGAGAAGCGAGAAACTTCAGTGAAGAAGAGGGAGGTGGCTGGCTGTGCCTTCTCCCTGAAATAGGGTTCTGTGCAAGAGGAGTGGTTCCAACTGCTGTCAAACAGGACGGCAGGCGACTCAAGGCCTCCACAGAGAGGCACAGCGGTGGAGGGGAGCAGCGGATGTGCTGGGCTGCACTAGCTAGTGGTGAGTGCTGAGGGCTGAGTCGTGTGGAAGGGAGCCATTGGCCTGGAGCTAGCTTGGGGAGGAACTGGCTGAGCTCAGAAGTCTGAGCTGCTGCTGGCTCCATTTAGTGGCTCCTAGCTGAGCTCAGGTCCAGAGGGCAGTGAGCCGAATTCATCTAGTGTCAGCCAGAAAGTGCAGGCTCACTGAGATTATCCACTTCCTCACCAGAAAGCTACTGCTGGCTTTCTGGACTAGACTGGCACGGATCTGGACTCTGTCTCCATGTGTTGTCTACCAGTGAAACCAGAAACAGCCCTGGGATGAACTTTTTTCTCTCTCTCTCTCTCTCTCTCTCTCTCTCTCTCTCTCTCTCAGTTTTTCTTGCTGCAGTGGTGGGGTTGTTTTTGTTTTTGTTTTGTTTTGTTTTGTCTCCTCTTTCATTGTTTGATCTTGTCTTTATATGAGTGTGTCTTGGTTACTTTTCTCTCATTGCTAGGACAAAACACCCGACACCCAAAATTCAGGAAGGAAAGGTTAATTTAGCTTACAGTTTGTGGAGGTTTCAGCCCATAATCAGCTGGCTGCAAGGCAGGGTGGCCTGGCACCAGGGCAACACTTTAAGGCAGCAGCTAGCAAAAGCAGCCAGAGCAAAAAGGAAGCAAGAACAAGCCTCTTTAATATCATATGGTACACAGGCCACACCCTTCTCTCCAGGTCGGTGTAGCTTCACAAAATCTCTGTGCTATTCTCTTGCAAAGGATGAGGGTATTTATAAAGTAAGGGTCCTGGCTCCCTGTCCAGTCTCTCAGTTAAACTTCTGTACTTCTCAAGCTGACACAAGGTATCAACCATAACAGTGTGAAAGTGGTTTCTAGCCTTTGTGGTTGAGGTCTGTTCTGTTCTTTTTATCCCTTTCTTTGTTTTTTCCCTGCAGTCTTATGTATCAGTTTCCCAAAGATAGTGTGATTCCTTCTTTGTCCTCCGACCTTACTTCTAATCTCTTTCTCTTCTTCCACTTCATGATTTTCTCCTTAACCCATTTTAAATTTTAACTCCTGAGGGCAAAATCGATGTATTTAGGACTTGAATATTGAGTATAATTTTCTGGTTTGTTTTAGATTTTATCATATAACCACAAACCCATGGCTATAAGTGGCAAATTGATGGTGAGCTCAGTTTGTCATTTTCTAGGCTGTGTCCAATGCTCTTGTTACCTGATAGGCTTCTCCTCAGAGTGGCAGAAAAGCAAGAGCAAGGAAAGGAGACAAGAAGAAGGGTTTTATTGTGGGCACAGGAGAGATGCAGTAGAGTAACGACCCCCTCGGGGCAGACAAAGAAGCCACAGCTTTTCTTTTTTTTTTTTTTTTTTTTGTTTTTGTTTTTGTTTTTTGCCACAGCTTTTCTTCAGTCTGACAGGGGTGGAGTTTAAAGGGGTGGGCACAGTGATGCTTTGACAATTGATTGGGAGAATGTTGGCACATGTGCAAAAGCAGAAAGTTCAATTTTGGGTTTGGAGTAGAACACACGGAAGTAAGCATAGAAGAAGGCACTGTCCGGCACCATGTTGGGCTGGAACCATCATGCAGAGCCCATCAGTACCACTGCAGCCCAAAGTGGCATAACTGTTGTAACGAGCTGTGAGTCCTGGTGTTTCATGACTGAGGCTGACTGAGGGTCACAGAAAATACTGTGGAACGGTGCCAAAGAACCAGGGACCAAACCAAACAAGCAGCACCTTCTCATGGCTGACAAATTGAAGAGGTGGAATCTTCACAAACTCAGAACCCCAAAATCAGATACACCTGGAAGACAACTTAGAGAAGTAGGCACTATTTAAATAGTGGCAATAAAGCAACCCACCAATTTAAGAGCCTCATCCCAGGAATTAAACTTAAAAAAAAAAGAAAGTGAGAAGACACTTAAACAAGATGCAACCCCAGACATCCAGTTCACCAAAGGCAAACTCAGTGGGCAATGAGATGGGAGGATCCAAAAGCCTCCCACTAGCCTCTCTGAAGAAAGCAATTGAATGAAGCTCTAGAAAAAATCAAATCAGAAATCATCTTTCAGATAACAGAAGAGATGGTGTCCAAAATAAGGACCACACTTAATGATGCCACTTAATGATGACACAGACCAAAAAAATAGACAACAGCAAGAAAGTTACAGAAGTATGAATGCTCAGCATAGGAAAGAAGTGGAATCCATAAAGCAGATTTAAGCAGACATCCAGGAGAATAAAAATTCTTTGGGTATTCAAAGCAGATTAAGCCAATGTGAAGACAATCCATATAGAAGACAAGCTTGCAATTAGCAACCGTGAAAAAGAAATATTTCTCCAAAGTAGCAAGGGATCATGAGAAATCAATCCAGCAGCTTCTAGATGGGGCAAAGAAGAATAACTTAGGATTCATTGAAATCAGTGAAAAAGCAGGATATAGAACAAATGATAAAAATAAAAGTTCACAGATGTCTTGGCAGAGAACTTCCCTGGCTGTTTCAGTTTTTGTTCAGATCCCACCCCACTCCTGCAAAGCCTCATGCAAGCAGGGACACAGCCCGATCTAGTGTTTGTGATGGTTTGTTGTCTAGCACTCAGACTGATGAGGTCAGTGCTACACCTACCTAGGGGTGGAGCCAGCATACATTGTAATGGCAGGAAGAAGGCGTGTCTTCTCTCTACCCCCCACCCCCGCCCCGGGCTTGTGCTTTGCTGCAGGGGTGGCCATGAACTGCTGCCCCTCAGCCATGTCATTTTGCCTTGGAGCCAACTGAATATGAACTGAAACTTCCAACCTGTGAGAAATAAACCTTCCCTTCCCTAATTTGGGCATCAGGTAGTTTGTCTCAACAATAAGAGAAAAGTTACCAAAACGTTGGCAGAGAAAAAGAATTTGACATGCAGATAAGTGAGGCATATAGAACTCCAATTAGCTATGATCAAAAAACAATTGCAGCAAGGCATGTGATAATCAAGATTCCAGAAATTCAACACAAGAATAGAATCTTATAAGTTGTCAAAGGAAAGAAAAAATCTCCTACAAAGGGAAGCCCTTCAGAATAATAGAAGACTTCTCAGACAAATCCTCAAGTCAAGGAGATCTTGGAGTGAAATATTTTAAATTCTAAAGGAAAACTACTTCCGACCCAGACTGATGTACCCCACAAAACTATCTTTCAAAATTGATGAAGAAATGACACTTCTATAATAAAGAATATCCAAGGAAGTTTATAACCACCAAACCAGCACTCTAAAATGTTCTAAAGGACATTCTACAATGAGATAACAAGGATGGTATCTTCATGAACCCCAACAGAAGGGTTCACCAGGGAAGGCAAACAATTAGAGGGAGAGAAAAAAAGGGCGGGGGAGCCAACTATAGGAAAATAACATGACAAGGATAAGTCAATACTTATCAATGATAACTATCAATGTTAATGGTCTCATTTCAACAATCAAAAGACACAGACTGGCAGAATGGATGAAGAAGTAACATCTAATAATATATTATGCAAAAGAAACACAGTTAGTTCAAAAAGAAATTCATAGACTGAATGTCAAATGATGAAAACAATACTCCATGCGACAGGAAACCAGAAAAAAATAGGGGTAGCTATTCTATTTGCAGACAAATTGAATTCCAAGCCAAAACTGATTAAAAGAGATAAAGTAGGTCACTACATCCTCATAAAGGAAACAACCCAAGAGGAAGAGATAATAATCATAATTACATATACACCAAACACCAGTGCACTCAACTATATAAAACAATTACTAACAGACACAAAAAATCACATAAGCACTAGTACAGTCGTATTGGGGGATCTCAATACCCCACTGTCACAAAAAGACAGATCAACTCGACAAAAAACAACAATGAACTATTAGAACTGAGCCAAACTTTTGAACAAATGGACTTAGTAGATGTCTGTATGATGTTCCACCCCACAACATCAGCATACACATTCTTTTCAGCTGCACATGGGACATTCTCCAAAAGAGACCATATACCGGCTCATAAAACATGCTTAAGTAAATGCAAAGGAACTGAAATTATCTCACGCATATTATTAGACTACAGTGCAATGAAATTAAAAACCCATAACAAAAGAAACCACATAAACACATGGAAATTAAATAGCACCTTCCTGAACAACCAATGGGCCACAGATGAAATTAAAGAACAAGTTAGACAGTTTTTACAGTTGAGTGATAACAGTACAATATACAAGAACTTATGGTATACAATGAAAGCAGCCCTAAGAGGGAAATTTACAGCAGTAAATACCCACAGCAGGAAAACAGAGCAAGCACATTAAACAACTTACTAGTAAGCCTCAAACCTCTAGAAAAGAAGAGCAGGCTAAACCAAAAGTTCTTACAAGGGAGAAAATTATAAAGATCAGAGCAGAAATTAATGCATTGGAGACTAAGAAGATAATACAAAGAATAAATGAATTGAAGAGTTGGTTCTTTGAAAGATTAAATAAAATCAACAAGCCTTTATCCAACCTTATCACACACAAAAAAAGAAAGACTCAAATCCATGCAATTAGGAATGAAAGGGGTGAAATCACAACAGACCCTGCAGAAACTCAGAAGATCATCTATATCTATTTTGAAAACTTGTATTCTGATAAGATGAAAAATGCAAAGAAATGGACAGATTTCTAGATATATATGAATTACCAAAGCTGAATCAAGAAGATATAAAAATCCTAAATTAATATCAATCAATGAAATCAAAGTTGTAATTAAAAACCTACCAACAAAGAAAAGCCCAGGCCCTGACAGATCCACTGCTGAATTCTACAAGAAATTTAGAGAAGACCTAACATGACTACTTCTCAAATGCTTCCGTGAAATTGAAAGGGAAGCAATACTCCCAAATTCATTCCTGGAAGCAAGCATTTTTCCAATACCAAAACCAGGGAAGAACCCAGCTAAGAAAAAGAAATGCAGGCCAATTTCCCTAATGAACATAGACACAAAAATCCTCAATAAGATATTGGTAAACAGAATCAATAAATGTAATACACAGAGTCAAGGAGAGAAGTCATATGATCATTCAAATAGATGAAGAGAAAGGTTCTGACAAAGTCCAGCACCCATTCATGATAAAAACCCTACATAAAGTTAGACCAGATGGTCGGTATCTCAATCTGATAAAAGCCACCTATGACAAACCAACAGCCAGCATCATATTGAGTGGACAAAAACTGAAAGCTTTCTCTCTAAAATCAGGAACAAGGCAAGGATATCCACTGTCACCATTCTTATTCAACACAGTCCTGGACACTTCAGCTGGAGAAATTAGACAAGAGAAAGAAATAAAAGGAATAAAGATAGGAGAGGAAGAAGTTAAACTATTGTTATTTGCAGTTGACGTGATACTCTACATAAAAGATCTAAAAAACTCCAGTAAAAAATTAGATTTAATAAACAAATTCAGTAGCATAGCTGGATACAAAATCAACACTCAAAAATCAATATCCTTGCAGTACATGATTAACAAACTCACTGAGAGAGAAATCAGGGCAACAACACCTTTCACAAAAACATCCAAAAAATGAAATAACTAGAAATCAATTAATGAAGGATAAAAAATACATCTGTGGTGAATTAAATACTGGCGGCCAAGTTAAAACACCAGCTGAATTGAATTACTATGGTGCTGAGAATAGATGGCCCACCTGAGGACGGTGCCCAGATGAAAGCAGACCTGGGGAGGAAGAGCGTGCTGTGGGTTCTCCTAAGTGTTGCTGTGTGGTGCTGTTGGTTCTCCTGTTGCCGCAGGTTCTCCTAGAGGAGCTTGCTGAGCTTCTTTCCTGATGTGAACTCGGTTCTCATCTCGGAGGAGCTCAAGACCTTGTCGCTGAGAATGGCTACCATTCACTCTGGGGAGCTCTGTTCCTTTACTTTGACATCGCTTCTTGGCTCCAGAGCGGAAGATGATGTGCTGCTCAATCTCCAGGAGAAGCCCGTCACTCTGGCTTCCTGGTGCAAACTTGGCTGTTGTTATCATTGGAGCTCAGAACCTTGTCGCTGAGGATGACTGTGGTACTTTTCAGGGGAGCCCTGGTCTTTACTTTGAGGGCTAGGGTTTCCTGGCTCCATTGCAGAACCTTCAACCTACTGGCCAGCTCCTTCACCCCGGTGGCACAAACTTTCTAGTTTCCACCACTGAGCTATGGGCCTTCCCAGTGCAGATCCGTGAAACAGTCATCCGTGAGACACTGTCATAGGCTCTGGTCACCAGTTGGACTGGTGGGAGGTACTGTCATGGGCTCTACGTCTTCAGCTGGACTCAAGTAGGACATTGCCATGGGATACAGGCCCTCAGCTGGATTCCTTGGGTCCTACACCTTTTGTATTTAACTGTTAGGTAACTATTACAAAATAATACTATAAATTATGTGTCCTGTATGTAATTGTTCTTCTTGCTACTCCCTAACTACAACGACATCTGCACTGAAAACTACAGTACTCTGAAAAAGGAGAGTGAAGAGGATATTAGAAAATAAAAGACATTCCTTGCTCTAGGATAGAAAGAAACAATATAGTGAAAATGGCCATGCTTCCAAAAAAGATTTGATGCAATTCTGATCAAAATTCCAATATCATGACTCACAGAATTAGAGAAAACAATCCTAAAATTAATTCATCTGGAACCAGAAGAGACCTAGAATAGCAAAGGCAATCCAGGGCAACAAAGATAAGACAGGGACATCACAATCTCTGACTTGAAATTATAACAAAGCCACTTTGATAAAAACAGTCTGGTACTGGCAAAAACAGACCCAAAGATTACCTTCTAAGCCACCTTATGTTTGACAAAGGTGCCAAACACATTCACTGGAAGAAAGCCTGCTTAATAAACAGTGCTGGAAAAACTGGCTCTACACAGGCTGAAGATTAAAACTTTCTTTCACCATGCTTTAAACTAAATTCAGAATCAACGATCTTAATATTAAAACAGAAATATTAAATCAGCTGGAAAATATAACAACTCTTAAAGACATTGGTGTAGGCAAAGACTTTATGAATAAAACCCAACCACACAGGAACTATCACAAAGAACCTACAACTGTGACCTCATCTTATTAAAAAGCTTTTGCACAGCAAGAGAAACCACCAACAATGAAGAGACAACCCACAATTGAGGGAAAAAAATGTTTGCCAGCTGTTCCCCAAAGGGTTACTATCGAGAACATATAAAGAACTCAAGAAAATTTACCTCCCGAATTTAAAGACCCAGCCTAAAAACGGGCATCTGAGATGAATACAGACTTCTCAGATGGAGAAATGCAAACAGCAAATAAACATGAAAAATGTTTAAGATCACTTGTCATTCAAGACATGCAAATTAAAACATTAAGATTATACTTTGGGCTGGAGATTTAGCTCAGCGGCATAAGCACCTGCCTTGCAGGCGGTTGTGAGTTCAATCCCCGGTACTGATAAAAAAAAAAAAAATTAAGATTATACTTCACCCTAGAAGAAATGGGCATTATCTAGAAATCAATCAATAACATATGCTGGTGAGGCAGTGGGGGTGAGAACCCTTCTCCACTGTTGGTAGGAATGCAGACTGGTGCAGCCACTGTGGAAATCAATGTGGAGATTGCTTAAAATACTAGGACTGGAGGTCTCATTTGACCCAGCTATTCCCCTGCTAGATATCTTCCCAGAAGAATTAAAAACATCATTCCACTGTAATACATGTGCACCCATGTTTACAGCAGCACAATTTGTAATAACTGGATCTTGGAAAAAACCTAAATGTCCATTAACTGAGGAATGAGTAAAAGAGATGTGGTATTTCTATGTAATTGAATACTACTCGGCCAGAAAGAAGGATAAATTTGAGACTTTTATAGGTAAATGGATGTGACTAGAGACCATATTCATAAGCGAAATAAATCACACATGTAAAAACATCATACTGTCTTCCTAGTGTGAGAAGCCGAAAGAAATTACATATACATATGTGTGTGTGTGTATATATATATATATATATGTATATATATAAAAGATAGATAAGATAGCTATACTACTCTTAGTCCATTGAAGAGAAAGATTTGTGCTAATAGTATTTGGACAATTAAATGCAGGTATCTTGTACTCTAAATAACTTTGAAAGTAACAATATGCAATGTGTTAACCATTGTTACCCCTAATTATCATGTTTTGAACTTTTTTCTCTTTAAAACAAAAATAGTAATTAATAATAAAAGGACTGAGGATGTGCTGTAGCACAGTGCAAAGGCCCCAGGTTCAAACTCCAGGACCAAACAAGGGAGAGGACAGAAAAGGTGCTAGCGCCAGTCTAGATGTCCGCCAAGGCCTCCTACACTGGCAGGTGGGACTTTGTGCGGCTGTGGGTCCAGAGTGTGAGGCACTGGACCCACTCAGGTGTGACGCTAGGGTCAAGGCTGTGAGTGCTGCCCCCACCCCCACCCCCGCGCAGCCTGGATAAGACAGAAGAGAAAGAGCTATGGCTCTACTGTCTTCTGCCTGCCCCGGGTAGTTCCCCACTGCCACACCGCCCTGCCTCGGAGCCAGCCGAGCATGGACAGAAAATCTCTGCAGACTGAGCCAAGTGAACCTTTTCCCCTTTAACTGTGGGTATTGGGGATTTTGTCTCAACAGCGAGAGAAATGTAACCGGGACAGAACTGAGACACAGACGCCGAGCACCTGCAACCTGTTTAGGCCCCTGCTGAAGATCCTTCAGGAAGCTGGGAAGACAGCCCACCCTCCCCTGGCCGCCTCACCATGGGCACCGGAAGCCGTGTATTCCAATCCATCTGCTGAATCTGTGCTGAGAAATATGGATCCTGGGCATGCCATCTACTGGGTATGCTTTATCTCTTAAAATTAGTCACACAAAACTATAATTTGAAACGTTTCACTTACTGATGCTCTCCTCTAGGGATTCAGAAGATTCAGTGAACAGAAAGATTTCACAGTAACTCTCAGGACAGCAGATGATTTTGACACCTGTAGAATTTTGCAAAGACCTGCAGAATTCATGCATGCACATGTTCACAGGGGGGCGTGCATGTGTGTGTGCGCGCGTGCGCGAGCAAACACACACACACACACACACACACACACACACACACACACACTGAGCAGCCCCTCCAAGGCCCTCACACAGCCTTTGTGATGCTAATCTCTGTGCCTCTCTGGGGGCTCCTGGGGACAAAGGCCCACGGCTTAACAAGCCAGCCCAGCAGGATGCCCTGGGATGGAAGCTGCCAGGCTTTATCCTTGGCTGAGCTGAGTCCCTCTGGAGTTGCCTCAACAGTGGACTCAGCCCTTACCCTTTCTGGGCTCACAGAAGTCCTAGGGTCTGTCCCACTTTCATGCCACGGCCAACCGTCCCAAAGCAGGACTTTCTGAGGCCAAGGTGCCTGCTCGGGTGTCCCCAGGCCTGCTGGTCCTTGCTCTGTGTGACTGATCATCCAGGGTGTCAGCCGAGCTTGATCAGCTCAGCTTGTGGCCCTGGCCTGCACCGGTGCCCCAGGAGCGCAGCCTGGCCCCCGCCACCTCCCCCCATCCTCTAAAGCCTCTGGGCTGCCTCCTTGCAGACATGAAGTGGAACCTTGATCTCAAACAGGAAGGGGGCCAGTGCCTGACCTTGGAATTGCAGGTTCCTTGGGACAGCAGCCAGCTGCCTCTCAGAGCCTCGGAACAGCATCGCCTTCCTGTGACTGTGGCCAAGCTTCAAAGATGGCACATTCCTTTAGGACAGCTCCCCTCCCTCTGCTGTTCCCAGGCTGGCTGCTCCCAGACCTTCTCCCTGGCATGCAGCCCCTGTCCAGCAGCGGGCCCCACAGCATCAGCTCGGCCCAGCACGGCCCAGAGCACCCGGGTTGCAAGCACTCTGAGGAGGCCATCCAGCCCCACCTGTGCCTGTGACACCAGGAACCTCAAACTATGTTCTGATACCCCAACTCACAGCTTCCTGTCCGGGGCCACAGGTGTCTTCTCTGTCCAGAGCTTGTGCAGCATGGAGGTCCCCCACACCAGGGTCACAACAGGGTGGGTGGGGACCATGTGTGCCAGAGCAGGACTCTGGCGGTCGCAGCCTCTGCTGAGGACCAGCTCCCGGCAGCGTTCCTGCCTGCCTGTGCCTTTCTTCCTGCTAGGTCTTGGGGCTTCAGGGTGGACACAGTCCCCCCTAGCCAGCTCTGACCTGCAGCCCTGGGACACAGGAGACAGCCTTGTCACAAGTGAGGTCAAATGGAGCAGGTCGCTCCAGCCCCGCCTCCACCCCGCCCCACTCTCCCAGCCCTTCCCCCTTCCACTGGTCTCCGCCCCTCCCTGTTGAGTGTCTCTAGCCAGCAGGCACACAGAGTCGAGTGGCGGGACACCTGTGGGCACAGAGCTCGGTGAACCTGAAAAGAACAAGGGCGTCCTTGTGCGGCCAGGTGTGCATGGGGCAGCAGGTAAAGGGTGTGGGAAGGGGACAGAGAAGGGGATTTGGAGAGAAGCCATTGGAGGAGGTGGAGGGTGGACAGAGGTGCCTCCTAGCCGGCAGAGTGCGCCTTGTGCCTGTTCCCCACAGATCTTACGAGGCAGGGGCTTCTCTCACACCAGTGTCCCTGGAAGGATGTCCTCTCACACAGGGCAGAGCTGTCGCCTACAGGGATGTCCTGGGCCTTCTAAAGTCACACCATGCTCTCCAGGACAGGTGCCGGGGACAGGGTCAGCTAGATTGGGGTCTGCACTTGGTACTGTGATTTTGACTTGGACAGCCTGCTGGCCACAGGCAGAGTGGCCATGTTTTCTACTGTCCAGATGGTGCCTTGTCTGCAACCCTGAGTCCTCCACCAGGAGTTATTCCAGTTATTCCAGGCCCCGCAGGGACCAGCAGCAGCCTCTGCTCTTCCTGGAAGCCTCCCACCCTAGGCCGGACCAGCGCAGCCCCACAGAAGCTCTGGGCAGGTGGAAGGCTTGAGCCAGCTGCAGGCGGATGTGCAGGGGCTGATGTGGGAGGCTCAGGATGTGTCCTGCAGCAGAAATAAAGCACTTTCCCCTGGGCCACTGTGGCGGAGTGTCCAGCACCCCTCCCCCCCGCAGAGGATCCCAGACCAGGTTGGGTGCAGCCCGGCCAGGGAGCCTCTGTCACAGACTAGACAGCATGGGCTTCCAAGCCCTGTCCTGAGTTGTCCCAGCCATGTTCTGGCATCAGGAGGGACTAACCCTATGCCCAGAAAGCTGCAGGAGTCTGGGCTCTGGTCACACACAGCAGCCGGGAGCCTCTTCTGTCTCTAGGCCTGCCCCTGCTGTGCTATGGGGGGCTTCCCCGAGGTCTTCTCAGCCGACTCAAAGGTGGGCTCAACCTCCAGACCCGCCAAGCGGAGGGCAGTGGCCAAGTGGGTGGCACCCACAAATGGCCACCCAGCATCCCCTGTGTGCCTCTCAGCCCCCTTCCCTCCAGTCTGGGGAGACTCGAGGTCGCTATCTGTCGACTCATGGTTGAAATTCTCAGCAGAATTTGGGAAAATATGGTAGTGAGGGAGGATTTGCTTGCTTGCTTTTCCCTCAGATGGGGGCCTTTCTCTGCCGCCCAGCCTCATCTAAGTTAGGTGTGCACAGTACAGGAATCCCCTGAGCCTGGGCCCGCTTGTCCTTAAAGTCAGTGTCCCACCGAGGACAGGAGGAGGGCAGAGCCAAAGCGTGCCTGTGTGCTGCCCAGCTGTGTGCAGGGCAGGGCACGTGCCTGGAATCCCAGCTGCTGGGCAAGCTGAGACAGGAGGACCTCAGCTTCAAAGTCGGCCTGGACAGCCAGGCAAGATCCTGTGTCAAAAGTTACCGAATAAAACTGACGGCACAAAGGGGATAGGAAGGCAGGCAAAAGGGGCACAAACACACACACACACACACACACACACACACACACGAGATGGTTAAAATTGGTTACAGATAGTTTTTCTTAGTTCACTGAAAAGCAAGATTTGTGGTGTTATTTTCTGGACAATAGTTCACGCCTGTGCCTTATACCCTGAGTAACTACCCTGAAGATCACAGCACATGATGCACTGTTACTCTCCATTAGCTTGTTTTGAAGCCCTGCTTTATTGTTACTTTTTCTCTTTAAAGTACAAAAAAAATCATTTAAAAAAAATAAAAATAGCTAAGGATGGTGGTGCACACCTGTAATCCCAGCATTTAGGAGGCTGAGGCAGGAGGATCACTGTGAGTTAGAGGTCAGCCTGGGCTACAAAGTGAATTCAAGGCCAGCCTGAACGGCTTAGCGAAAACTTCTCTCAGAACAAACAAGTGGTAGAGCCCTTGCCCAGCACGCTCGAGGCCTTGGTTCCACCTGCAGCCCCAGGCAGCCCCTGTCCCCTTGCAGTTACTGGAGCTGCTGGGCCTCATGACTTGCTGCCCTGCACCCCTCCCATGCATGCTTGTGGCTTCCCAGGCACCTGTGCTGCGTTCCCTGGTGCTGGGTAGGCGCCCAGGGCCAGTGGGTCTGGCAGTAGAGCCAGGTCCCGACCAGCAGGCCTCATCCGGACTGCAGGCTCTCTGCTTCCTCCGGGCTGACAGGGAGCGGAGGCCAGGCCAGCAGCTGGCACTGTCCAGTCTTGGACCCAGCGCAGTTGTCCAGTCTGGGGCCCAGTTTCGAAGGGACCAGGGCGCCAGCTGCCAAGCCAGGGCCATGCAGAGTCCTCTGTGAGGCCCAGCTAGGGTTTCAGACTTAGGGCATTTGTCTTTATTTTTTATTTTCTTGTGGCACTGAGGGTTGAACCCAGGGCCTTTGTGCTAAACTCCAGCCCCAGCCCACCTTTATTTGGAGGCAGGGTCTTGCTTAGGCCCTAAGTTGCCCAGGTTGGATTCAGATTTGCATCCTCCTGCCTCAGCTTCCTAGGGCTGGAGTCCAAGCTGTGTGGCTACATGTGTGTGCATGGCCAAGCCAGGAGCTACGATTAGCGTCAAAGGGTCCCAGATGGCACCCACTTGCAATATAGCCACCGTTTTCTTTTTAAATTCAAGATTTCATCCAAAAAATCACCGCCTGTGATGTTTGCTGGGCCGCACCAGAGGAATAATGCTCTCTCAGTTTGATCTGGAGCCGGGAGCACGTTCTCCCCTCGAGGCTTAAAGCTATCAACAATCTGAATAAGCCGAATGGGCCGGTCTTGAAGGTTCGCCAGGTCGGGAAATTGGACACCACAGACTTCCGTGTCCTTGAGGCAGGAGCCCAAATGTCAAGGAGAAAGCCCAGGTCACCCTCCATTTTCTTACGCATCAGAGACAAGTGCTGCGTTTTGCTTGCGAAACCTTTCGCTCTATTTCAGTACTGAACAAGGCAGCAGCTCATTCACCGAGCGTCCACACAGCAGAAGTTCACGGCGGAGAGTGAGGCCAGCACTCTAACCACTTCAGAATCAACGCAAGTGTGATTTCAGCTTAGGGGTTGAGGTCTCTGTTCAGAGAAACAGTTCATGGCCGAGGAAACGAGCACAGTCTCCTGTCCTTCAGAATCTGCTCCCGCAGCCCATGTGTGACTGCTGGAGCCGCCTCGTGGGCCGGAACCATGGACGCAGCAACAGCTCGTCCCCACCTCGGTCTGATGAGGCCCAGAAGGAGGAGACTGACCATCAGATTGACGTTTCTGACGCCATCCAGCTTGTTCCAGAGGAGGCCGCTGCCCTAGGTAGGTGCTTGCTGCCGCCCACTTTCCAGCCTCACTGTCCTTGCGCCGCAGCCTCGCTCTCAGCCCCTGCACCATCGAGGTTGGTGTGGATCAGGCCGGTGTCCAGTCTGGGATGGCCTGGCTCCTTCCTGTGCACTTCTGAGCGCACAGGGACTCGAGCCTTACCTGCCCCTTGGCCGTCTAAGCCAGTGTCTGGCGCAGTCGGCTCACAGGGAGTGTGACGGGTGGGTCCGTGGTTTGGACATGGCTGTCCACCTGAGCTGGGCATAGTGCTGTCCTGGGAGACAAAGAGGAGGCTCTCACACCTCGGCTAGGTGGGCTCTGCCTGGAAGCCAGAGTGAGGCCTGCACAGTCGCTGCTGGAATGGGCACTGCTCCTCCCCTGTCCCTTCTGCTAGCCCTGCCCACTCAACACCCAAGACAAAGCTTCCAGGACACAAAGCAGATGCCTCCTCACAGAGGGGAGATGTGACCTTGCAAGTGAGCTGTGGTCCAGTCCTACGGGACCATGCTGTGCTTCTGGTTAAAAGTGAGGTTCTAAGAGAGGCAGGACCTGGCCTTTGAGCTGCCTGCAGCTTCTCCTGACCAACCCCACCTCCACATTGGCTGGCAATGTTGGGTTTGTTCTAGCCTGCAGGACTGGTAGATAGAGGCTGGCTCTGAGGCTTCCAATGGATCCATGCTAAGCCGGGCTTTTGTCTTGGCTGGAGCAAGAACCTCCTTATGTTGAGCTCATACAGATGCTTGGCCTGGCCACTATGACCTGGTTCTGCGGGCCTCCCAAAGGCCCTGGACCTGGGGACTGTCGATGTCCGCTCCCGGCCGGCAGGAAGGACACATGACAAAGTCTGGTAGTGGACAACCTTTTCTTTTTATTTTCCTTCTCCGTACAGCCTGCCCTGGGTTCTCCCAGCTGAAGCCTCCTCTGGTCCGCTCCCCGCGGCTCCTTTTGTGCTTCAGTCTGCCCCAAAGCCTCTACCGGTCCGCTCTCCGCGGCTCCTTTTGGGCTTTTACTTCTGGGCTTCTACCTGGCTTCTTCTTCCGCCCAGGGGTGGCACCGGTATATATACGGGTACAGTGTCCAATCATGTTAAAGTAAGCAAGGCAAGCTGATTGGCTAACATCATCAGTTGCCAGGCAGACTATATTGTTGAGCGGGTTGTTTACGCGGTAAGCAGGAAACTAACATATTCGATGGGAGGGGTAATCTACCTCAGGCTTTGCTCTTTACCACAGGCCGCACGTCCGCCGCGCAAGGCGAGCTATCACAGACGCGGCTCCCAACATCTCCCCCTATTTTATTTTTTATGAATGTGCGCATCGTAGCCCTTCCTGGACTGGGTGCAGAGGCTTATGCCCTATGTGTAGGCCCACCGTAGGTCCTTGGCTTAGACCCTGGTTGGCCATGCCATGGTCTGCCAAGGCCCTGAGGCCCTCGTCCTTTTTCTAGGGCCAGGCACAAACTAGACGGAACCTGGATGCACACAAGCTTGCACTCATTTCCTCTCCGTAAAGAAATCCCCTCGGAGAGAAATTTAGACCTGGGCAGCATCTAACAGTCCAGCGGCTTACGTGCA